GAAAGCTCACCGGAAGCACTTTTTCATCAAAAAAAGATGGCGGCGCCCAGCTAATGCCGGTACCGGGCCGCGCCATAAAAAAGGTTGGGGATACCAGGCCGCGGCGTAAAAAAGGTTGGGGATCACTGCTTTAAGGCACTGGCTGTTTTTGTTGTGTGTTTTTTAAAGTTTCATATTTTTATTGTTGCTCTGTAAGCCTCCTGGGGTTATAATATGTAAGATCAGCAACTGCATAAGTGCTTTAAATAAATAAATAAATACATCTATAAATGAGTGAGAGACAATACAGCAATTCCACATGCTTCCCATCATTAGGAACCTGTTTCCTTAACAAACTATATAAAATGAAGATGTTGGTGTTACTGGAAGAATTCAACTTGCATATTTCTTCAGGGATAAAGTTATTGTGTTGTAACAATAAATACCAAGGAAACTTATTTGAAGAAATTGTACACAGTTAAGCAATACTAAACACTTAAATTTACTACTGATCAAGCTTTGGGGATTGTCTAGACGAAAGCCTGTCTCAGCCAGTTAATTTAGGATACTTGATTACAACATGTAAAAGCTTATATCTCTTCTTCCTGTTTTTTTCCAAATACTTTGTTCAGCATATATTTTGCAGGAGACAAAATTTTATATTCATATGATTAATTTGTATAGGCTGTTGATTGATTCATTTTCTACAATTGTATCTTCAGATAATAAGAGGTAATTATATTTTGTATACATGTATTTTTCCCACAAGACCACTGAAGGTAATTTCAAACACATACAGTGTGATTAATTGTATAAAGGAAATTATCAGCAATATTGTGTTATTGAAAAGTTTTAAATCTGAGACAGTATTTAAGAAAAAATGATGCACAAATTAAGAGAAAGACAATTCAGTCTTCAACATTTTTAAGTACATCTAAAATGTACATTTGTCAACAATGCCTTTAAAGTTCTTCAGTTCTGTTCAAACAGTCTTGAGAAAAGATCATTGCATGTTGCCTCACTGTAGGAATTAGTAAATATACCTAGTCTGGAAAAATTACTATGCAAGTGAATTATCATTTGCATTTTTTCATTTTAAATTGTCAGACTTGTTTGCATTTTGTTAACCTTTGGCTCCAAGTTATATACAGGTGAAAGTCGAACAATTAGAATATTGTGCAAAAGTTCATTTATTTCAGTAATGCAACTTAAAAGGTGAACCTAATATATGAGATAGACTCATTACATGCAAAGCAAGATAGTTCAAGCCGTGATGTGTCATAATTGAGATGATTATGGCTTACAGCTCATGAAAACTTCAAATCCACAATCTCAGAAAATTAGAATATTGTGAAAAGGTTCAATATTCTAGGCTCAAAGTGTCCCACTCTAATCAGCTAATTAAGCCATAACACCTGCAAAGGGTTCCTGAGCCTTTAAATGGTCTCTCAGTCAGGTTCAGTAGGAAGCACAATCATGGGTAAGACTGCTGACCTGGCAGTTGTGCAGAAAACCATCACTGACACCCTCCATAAGGAGGGAAAGCCTCAAAAGGTAATTGCAAAAGAAGTTGGATGTCCCAAAGTGCTGTATCAAAGCACATTAATAGAAAGTTACGTGGAAGGGGAAAGTGTGGAAAAAAAGGGTGCACAAGCAGCAGGGATGACCACAGCCTGGAGAGGATTGTCAGGAAAAGGCCATTCAAAGGTGTTGGGGACATTCACAAGGAGTGGACTGAGGCTGGAGTCAGTGCATCAAGAGCCACCACACACAGACGGATCCTGGACATGGGCTTCAAATGTCGTATTCCTCTTGTCAAGCCGCTCCTGAACAACAAACATCAGAAGCATCTTACCTGGGCTAAAGAAAAACAGAACTGGTCTGTTGTCAGTGGTCCAAAGTCCTCTTTTCTGATGAGAGCAACTTTTGCATCTCATTTGGAAACCAAGGACCCAGAATCTGGAGGAAGAATGGAGAGGCACACACTGCAAGTCTAGTGTGAAGTTTCCACAGTCTGTGTTGATTTGGGGAGCCATGTCATCTGCTGGTGTTGGTCCACTGTGCTTCATTAAGTCCAGGGTCAACGCAGCCGTCTACCAGGAGATTTTGGAGCACTTCATGCTTCCTTCTGCAGACGAGCTTTATGGGGATGCTAACTTCATTTTCCAGCAGGACTTGGCACCTGCCCACACTGCCAAAAGCACCAAAACCTGGTTCAATGACCGTGGGATTACTGTGCTTGATTGGCCAGCGAACTCGCCTGACCTGAACCCCATAGAGAATCTATGGGGCATTGCCAAGAGAAAGATGAGAGATATGAGACCAAACAATGCAGAAGAGCTAAAGGCTGCTATTGAAGCATCCTAGTCTTCCATAACACCTCAGCAATGCCACAGGCTGATAGCTTCCATGCCACTCCGCATTGAGGCTGTAATTGCTGCAAAAGGGGCCCAAACCAAGTACTGAGTGCATGTTTATCCTTTTCAGAGGTCTGATATTGTTCTATGTACAATCCTTGTTTTATTGATTGCATATAATATTCTAATTTTCTGAGACTGTGGATCTGGGGTTTTCATGAGCAATTATCATCGCAATTATAACAAATCACGGCTTGAACTATCTTGCTTTGCATGTAATGAGTCTCTCTCATATATTAGTTTCACCTTTTAAGTTGCATTACTGAAATAAATGAACTTTTGCACGATATTCTAATTTTTCGAGTTTCACCTGTGTAAGATAAACACAACCATCCCTAAAATGTGCCCATTCATCAGGAATCTGTGTCTATATTTTGTAGATCAGTTGGAAACAGTAAGCAAAATGATAACTAAACACAACTGTTTCCTCCAAACTTTTGTAGTTAGTTATCTTTCTTTAAAATAAAAAGGTCTTAGTTACCAATTTGCATGTCACTGTCAAAATCAGTCTTGAGATGTGAAGGCACTTTTTAGGTTGGCCATGGGGTTCTTATCAGTTGTTCCCTTATTTGGAACTAGAGAACTGCACCCAGTTGTTTTACCACACAGAACTTTTTAGCTTTTGCAAAATGACAGATATCTGTAGTTTTACTTGCATTGCTATCAATAGTTTTACTTGCATTGCTAACAGGAAGCAGTTTTGTTTGTCTGGGAAGCAGTTTTGTTTGTGGCTCTTTGGAGTCACTGTGCCTATATACAATACAAGATGGTAGGAATGGGTTCACACAGCATACTACAACACGACTTGTTTAATGTCTTGATTAAGCCATGATTTGATACAAAATGCCAAGTCACAATGTAACTTTGTACAGAATCATAGATGTATAGGACTGGAAGGAAACATGAAGGTCTTCTCCAACCCGCTGCCCAAGTCCACCCAAGTCCAATCCTCTGCCCAAGGCAGGAGACCTTACACCACCTGGGACAAATGGTATTAGCAATTCTCCCTAGCTTGGTGTTGTTTGCAAATTCGACGAGTTCCCCAACTATCCCCTCATCTAGATAATTTATTATAAGAGTACTGGGACTAAGATAAAAACTTGAAATACCCCACTGCATATTTCCTTCCATGCCGATATAGGACTACATTCTGAGTGTGGTTGGTCGCTCTGCTCAATAGTAATTTGATAACGCTCATGGGTAATGTGTAAAAGGTGTGGATTTTAACTGGCTGAGGATTTCTAGGACTTGAAATCCAGGCATCTTAATCTTCTCAGATGGAGAAACACAGATTTAATGAGTAACGATTCCCTCCGCTCCAGAGAAATCAGAATCATTGTTCATAGCATAAACAAGGCTTTGATCAGATGATCTGATATTAAGAAACTGGGGAAGGAAAGGTATCTGGCCATTAATCAAAAGCCATCGGCCCCTTGATTGCACCCGACTCTATACATTAATGTACGCGTGGCAGTGATAGTTTTTTCGACTCTCCAAATTCTTCCGTTCGCACCAAAACCGCAGAATTCGCCATGATCTGGATGAGAGCATCTGCAAAATTCCGCTTCCCCAGGAAAGGCGACGAGGAGGGAGGAGCCAAGGCCCCGCCTCGCCCATTCGCGTAGCTTTCGCGTTGCACGAACTGGGGGCTTTCTGTGTCAGCGAGCGAGCAAAAAAAAAAAAAAAAAAAGCACGCATCTAAGCGGCGGGCGAGTTCGGTGGAGGCGACCCCGGTTCTTGGGCTGGGCTTCTCTTCGGCGAGCCGGTTGGCACGGACGGCTGACTGCGTTGCCTCGGCGACCTTTGGTTTGCGAAGCTGTATTTTAAGGATGGGTAGAGAGTGAAGCAGGAGCGGCCACGCCAGTTATCCGGATGACCCGAGTCAGGATGATATTAACGCGTAAGTATCGTCGTCACCAAGTCCCACGTTCACTTTAAGTCGCCTTCATCCCGCCGGTCAGGGCGAGGTTGGGCTATAAAAGGCTTGTGAGCGTGGCTGGAGAACCGGACACCCGCTTTAAAGTGAAGGGGTGGAAAAATGGAGCGCGGTCAGAACTGTCGGAATTGCGCTGCGCCTCAACTAGTTGGGCGATTCTTGAGCCAAGCGAAGTGAAGCGAAGAAGGGGAGGCTGGCGGTGGTGTCAGGATGAAAAACATGACAAGAGAACGTCCCAAAAGTGCTTTCAAAAGCAACTGGACTTTCTGGTTTTTTCTTTGAAGTCGTTTCGCTTCTCATTCGAGAAGCTTCTTCAGCTCTGACTGGATGGTGAGGAGTGGAAGGATTTATACACCTTGCAGACATCTGGTAAGAACTGCAGAGGCTTCTTGAATAAGAAGTGAAATGTCTTCAAAGAAAAAAAACAGTTGCCTCTTGAAAAAAAGCACCTTTGGCACAACCTTGACAGAGAATGATGGCAGAGAATCTCCACTGACAGGAGAACATGTGACTTCTTATGGCTTTGGGCTTGGCCACTGATGGATCCCTCCAAGGGAAAGAGGGGAGCAGGTTTCCTTGTGGAGAGGATCAGCCACACTTTGGATTCCCAAAGTTTGTGTCATTTCCTGAGGCTGAACCCTTGTACAGAATCTTATTGCTGAATAGCTTTGTTCGATTGGAGCTGTGTTGCAATTCAGTGATGCATCTCTGGATTGCAAGGTCGTCTGGTAGGAAAGGAAATAGAGATTAAAAAAGAAATGCAAGAGGCACAGTCCCATACATACTTTACATTCCATCCTTGTGGATCGTTTCTGAATATTCCTGAAGTGAATCCTTGACTGTTACTCCTTCGGCTAACCTTTCCTGACCTCAGGCTTGTGGTATGTGAGAATGTAGGCATCGTTCTTTAAAATTAAAATTTGACATTATTATATCCTTAAAGAGCCATGGCTGAGTTTAAGTGGGGGGGGATAAGAGCAGTTCTTTAGTATGTAAAATTAGCTTGGTTCTTTTATGCAACTGAGCCTGTTGAGGAAAGATATATGGAAAATATTTCTATACTGTTCTGTGCAGTTACTTAAGTTTCATTCTTTCTCAATCCATATAACTAAGAGATATCGAGAATTCCATGGGGGTGGAAGGAAGATTACAATCTGCCTCTAAAAGCTATATTATTAGAAGAAGCTTCTGCTATTTTTAAAAGTATATAAAATCAGAATAAAGGAGATAAAACTGCATCTCTTTCTGAGTTTAGTTATGCATGAGAGAGATATTCGTGCACATGAACACACACACATGCACACATTTTCAATAGCTATCTGCTTAATTACTTTTGCAGTTTTTCGTCTTACATACTGCATGAAAACAATGCTATTCTGGTATTACAGGGCTCTTGTATATAGAGTTTTATTGTTTGGATGTCTGTTAGGCAAACTCTGAGCCATAATATGATCCATGTTAATCTTATTTATTTCCCACCCTTCTGTCCTTGTCAGCAGTCTTAAAACAGAAGGTTGTCCAAAAAGTTTGTCAATGCAGTTGCTGATGAGCCATAGCTACTACTGGTACTAGGGGGATTGCGAATTCCAGTGCTTGGCATTTGTCTAATACAACACTTGTTGACTATTGTTCTGGAGCAGGCCATCCTGGGACATAATGGTGGGGGGAAAACATTGGGGTTAAGATTTTAAGGACAAAAGGAACAATAGGCAAAAAGTTAATGGTTTGGCTTTTATGACAGCTGTAAATCCTGCAAACATTGTTGAATACTGTCAGCTTTTTTATTTTGCTGCTCTAATAGGACTATTCCAGGTAAAAGGAAGAACCACAGTCAACATGTGTCAGGACAAATATAGTAGAGGAAAAGATATTTTTTACTGGAGAATAGAAGGGAAACTTACCAAATTTGCGTATAATACTATGCTGCCAGGAATAGCTAACGCCCTAGATGATAGGCTCAAGATCCAGATGGATGTTGACAGATTTAAACACTGGGCCCTATTTAACAAAATGAAATTCAATGTAGAGAAAAGTAGTTTCTTACACTTAGGCAAACCCCCCCCCCCCCAAAAAAAAAAAAAAAATACATATACAGACTGGGTGAAACCAGGCTTAATAGCAGTAACTGTGACAGGGATCTTGGAGTCTTAGTGGACAACCAGTTAAATATGAGCTAGTAGTGTGCGGCGGCAGCCAAAAAAGCCAATGCAATCCTAAATTGCATTAACAGAGGGATATAGTCAAGATCAAGTGAAGTACTAATACCACTCTATAAAGCCTTAGTAAAATCACACCTAGACTACTGCATCCAGTTTTGGTCACCACACTATAAAAAGATGCTGAGACTCTAGAAGATAAGATAAGATAAATTTATTGTCATTGTACTCAGAACCTAGAAAAAGTGCAGAGAGGAGCAACCAAGATGGTTAGGGGACTGGAGACTAAAACATATGAAGAACAGTTATAGGAACTGGGCATGGCTAGTCTAGTGAAGAGAAGGACCAGAGGAGACATGATAGTAGTGTTCCAATATTTGAGAGACTGCCACAGAGAGGAAGGAGTCAAGCTATTTTCCAAGGCACCTGAAGGCCAGACAAGGAATAATGGATGGAAACTGAACAAGGAGAGATTTAACCTGGAAATAAGGAGAAACTTTCTGATAGAACGATCAATCAATGGAACAGCTTGCCCTCGGAAGTTGTGGGAGCTTTATCACTAGAGGCTTTCAAGAAGAGATTCGACTGCCACTTGTCAGAAATGGTGTAGGTCTTCTGCTTGGGTGGGAGGGGGTTGGACTAGATTACCTTCAAGGTCCTTTCCCACTGTTAATCTGTTAAGAATCTGTTACTGAGCTGATCAAACTGATGTCTAGATGCAACAAACAATATTATACAATTAACAATGCATTAACAATCTTATATATATCTGATTGGAAATAACATCCAATTGATCTTCATTTCTCTTAGTAGTATTTTCATAGTCTTCATTGATTAATTTGAGCCTTTTTTCTCTTAGTGTTCATGCAATATGCAAGTGTTTTTATACAAATAATTCCTATGATATTTAAGTGTGTTGTTCATTGGTTTATTTTCACACATCAGCTCCATGTCTCTTGGTATGAAGTTTCTTTTAACTGTAAGGAAAGAAAGAGATCACAGAGAATAGATAGATGGTTATATTGAGAACAAATGTTGAACTGGGACATCTAAGTTCTGGGTAAAAAACTAAAAAGGTATTTTTCTAAAAAATTGTTTCATAAAGTCTAACTCTACAGAAAGCTGAGATGTACAATGTTAATAATTTATGCCTGAAAGTGAGGACAAAATCTGCTTGGCTTTAGAAATAGCTATGTTCATATCCCAGATTGCAAGCAGATTGAGGAAAATACTATTGCAAACTTTGCCCTTCCATTTGTACAACTGGAAAAAGAGACATCTAGAAAACTTTAAAAAACCAGAATAGGGTAAAATCTGCAGGAAAGCTCAGTCAGTATGAGCATATTTCAAGAACACCATTAAGAAATTTTGGATTATGCTGTGAAAATATTTCTTTAAAGAGCTTGTGATTTATTTATTTATTTTTGCCTTTGAGACTATGAGAAATGATGAAATTTGTACCAAAATTATTCATATCATGCAAATTTCAAACAGGTTGAGAGGGTTTAATGCAAAGGGCAGGGGGAGATAATAAAAATAACTTTATTTCTTCCTGAAGGTGGTGCAGCTGTTTGTTAGTTGGGATTGAGAAGATTAATTCATATGTCTTTTTTTAAAAAAATAAACAGTCTTTAAACCAATCAGCTAACTAATATAATTCATAAAATATCATTTTGTAACTGCTGAATATGAGGGAAAATGAGGTGGAATAAATGGTAAAATGTTTCCTAGATCTTGCCATCCATCCCAAGTGAGAAATAACTGCAGTCACTTTTATTGAGGCTAAGGATCTAGTCGCAAAGGTCACTCTGAGTTAAGCCTAGGTTTGATGAAACCTTGAACCTAGTCTTTCTCCTTCCTTCCATTCTTGTCTGGCCACCATGTTCTATGTAAGTTATGAAAAAGGCAACAATTACTTTTTTCCTCTCTTCTCCTTTCTTCCTCTTTTGATATGGCTGCTGAAGTGTCATGATTTTAGTTCAGTAGAGGTTTAGAATGAAAGATCGGGATTAATGTTTTGCAGGGGATTTTGAACTGAGATAAGTGCAGATTAGAGCTGTTTACTCAATTTCCTATAAATCTGTTCCAGATGTTTAACTTCTGGAACTGGAACTCACCTCTAGTAACTTTTAACAGATCAGTATGTGGTTTCTTGCCTGAATCATAGGTTGATAACAGAGTTATTTAATACTTTATCCTTAAAACGTGCCTACTTTCAGTTCCTGTTTTTTGTTTTTGTTTTTTGGATGGTTATGCATTCATTCTGATCTGTCTTCCATTTGTGATAGTAATGTGATAGTGTTCCTTGTTATTTCCTCATCTTTTTTTTTTATTTTGGCTCATTTTATTTTGGCTCACTTACTTCTGCTTCTACTTTTGAACGCATTGAATACTTCCATGGGCTCCTAGTTAACTCATAATATATACAATTCTTTATACAACAAGTAATGGACAAAGTTTGCAGGTCTCAAAGTTTGCAGTTATAGACAATGGACAAAGTTTGCAGGCAATACACTGAGTTTGCAGGTGGACTTTGCACTTATCTAGTAACTATCACACAATTAATTTATACTCTCCTCTGCAAAAAAATGAGATCATCAACTAAAACCCAGCAATGTTACGTTTTTATAATTGGAAACCTCCAGTATTCAACCACTTCCTAATATTCCCTTTGGATGTGGTGTATTTAAACATGTTTTTCAATAAATGACAATTACTTACATTTGGGTGACATGTGAAGACATAAATCTGGATTTGAAAATTCATTGGTTTGATTTATATATCACATTATGCTGAAGCCAAAGAATTACATGCAAAGAGAGGAAGGGAGTCCCCTTATTGGTGTTGGTGCATTTTAGGTTCTATTCCTAAATATAAAGTATGAATGCCTTTTATAGAGCCTGCCTACCTTATAATTCAATTCTTAATCCGCATTGTACTTTGCTTATGTGCTTTGATTCGGAATTACATACATAAATAATTAAATGTGTACAGTTGGACTAATTGGAGAGGTGGATGAAAAACTAACCTGTACATTGAAAGTGAAAACTGCAAATAATTCATCAATTTATAGCTTTCTCTGATTTGACAACTCTGTGCTGATCATGTTGGAGAAAGTTGCACAATAATGGTGCATTCCCTTTGTAGTTCTGGTGTGCATAGGACAACAAAGGTGTATCCTTTCTCCCTAACTATCAGAGTTTGTACTGAAGCCTTCAACCCTGAATACCTTGGTAATTCAACTTGTACCAGAACTATAATGTAAAGTAGGTTAGAGAAAAGAACTGTTTTCATAAGGGAACCTAATAACTTGCAATGTTTTCTCATTTAGATATGATGAGCCTTTACTGTCCTAGAAACACGCTTGCATTTTTAAGGCAACTGGTGAATGTTCCGTAGTTTTCAGAATTCTGATCCCTCTTTTTCCTGTGAGGATGTTACATTATTACAGCTGCAAGATTTCTATTAATTAGTACCAAATGACTGCCATTTGGTTGTAATTAATCGCTGCATACCAAGTAATATACATGGAGGGTTGTGCAATTAAAATCCTTAGAAATAGGTGGAGGATAATGAAAGTGATTATTTCTTCAAAATGAACTATTTAAAGATTAAATTATTATTTAAAGAGAAATAGACTATTTATCAAAGCATTAGCATGCCAAGATATCTCAAACAAAATTTTGGGGTTTTTTAATTATGTTTTTGCTGGTTGAGTTTGATACTATGTGCTTTTTCTGTTGTGGAACACTTTCTGTATCACAATCCTCTGCTATTTTGCATTACTGTGTTTTTAGAGGCAATTACATATTCAAATGCTTCCACACTCTGTTTTGGATCATACTCATAGATCTATAATGAGCAATGGTGGGATTCAACCGATCTTACTACCAGTTTGGTAACTACGTTTTGTGTACGCATGTGCTGTGCAAAGTAGCGGAGGTTGAAAAAGCAGGAAATAAAGGACAGGTAAGAGCCCAGGCGGGCGGCTGGGCCAAACAGCAGCAAACACAGAATCGGTTCAGTGTCTGCTGCTCTTCAGAGCTACCGGTTCTATAGAGCTGGGCAGAACTGGTAGCATCCCACTCCTGATAATGAGTATATGAAGAGTAATATATTGCAAAAGCCTGTTTGAGGTTAGGGATTACTTTGGTGAAGATACTAAAACAAGCAGATTGATTCTGAATTAGTAGCATGACATAATGACAGTCGTTTTTCTTCCTTAATATTGGAGTATCAGTCTTTAAAGTTGTTTTCTGATTCTTTCTTTCAGAAATTGAAGCCAAGGAAGCCTGTGACTGGCTGAAGGCTGCTGGTTTCCCCCAGTATGCTCAGATGTTTGCAGGTATTGCTACAGTGCTTGCAATAAGAAATAAGTTTATATTGCATAATATTTTATATATAATTATAAAATAATTATAATTATTTGCAAGAAGAAACCCAAGCCCTTTCTAGCAAATCTTTACCCACATTTAATGTATGATCTTTAGTAAACAAATGCCAACACATAGAAAGTCATTTTTGCAAGTTCCACCGGTATAGGAAGTAAATAAACTAGGCAAAGAATTGCTATCCATAAACTTGGCTAATATTAACAAGTAGTGTTGTTGTGACACAGAACTGGGGAAACTTTAACATCCCCTCCCATTTAAAGTTCTGCTTCATATAGATATGATATAGTAATATAGTCTTATGAAATGAAACATTATCTCCATATCAGTGTGGTAATTGGACTCTAGAAATAATATTTTATATTATGCAAATTTTAAGCAGGCTCCCAAAAGATACGAAGGTCTGTCTGATAAACAATGCAAGAATAAGTGTAACGCACACCTTTAGTGTCAGAATTGACGGTCTCATTAAAAAAGATGAATGGGCTTTTAATTTTATGTCTGTATTTTTAAAAAACAAATTAACTGGAAAATGACCACATTGGTACCTAGTTATTTTAAAATGACTGGGAGAGGGGTATCAGAAAAAGTTATGTCTATTGTTTTCAGATGTCTTCTTTCAGGGATAGATAAATAGTTACTGATTTAGAAAGAAGCAGGTTAAGAGTTCTTCCTATTATCCTCATCCACCTCACATTGCAGTGGATAAAGGGTACTGCTTATTTGTTTATTGGACAATAGATACTTTACATATGACACAGCTAAGACTCAGCCTTTGTTCTCAAATAACCTTGTTCAAGCTGTCACCCAGTAAAATTTGAATACCTATAGAAGAGTAGACTTTTTAGAGATAGTACTCTGGTTTTCTCCTTAAAGTCTTCCTGGGCATGTCTTCAGGTTCAGCATCAACAGAAACAAGGATAATAATTCAATCAGAGCAATGAGTGTTATAGATTATTCAAATTGAAAAATTCATTTCAGAGATATGAAGCAGAAAAGTCAGACTAGAGGTTATTGCAGTTCATGAGAAATAAGACAATGAACAAACCTATATCAAAATAACATAAAATGAATTTACAAAGATTATAGGGGAAGAATGTTTATAAAGCAGGTTAGGCCTGATTTGGGTCTAGTCTTGTAGAATGCATTGCTGAGTGAGTATTTTATGCAGTAGTAATAGACACTTGAATGTCTAATTCTTAAAATGTATCTGTCATAGAAATTCATGATTCCTAGTTTTTTCCTGGTTAATATACTCTATAATTCTTACATGCAAGTATTGTGTCCTGATTCATAAATCTGTTTATTTCCAGAGACTTTTATCATTTTAAGTTATGTTGTTTATCCTAACTTTAGAAATGTTAAATAAAAGTGAAAGCATAGTATTTGGAACTTGTTTTTCAGATATGCAGTTTCCAGTTGACATAAAAACTGTGAGGAAAGATCATGAATTTTTAGATCAAGATGCAATAGAATCTCTCTACAGGTAAACTTTGGTCTGAATTTCCCTTTGGCTTAGTAATAGATGTCTAGGACTGATAACTTAAGGCTTTAATTAAGTGAATCACTTCATGAAGTGAGTGGGCTATGACTAATATCTTATATCTTACTTTGTTTCTGTTTGGATGTCTGGAGGAATATGGATTGCTGTTGTATGCAATATATGTGTCCCAACTTCAAAACATATGGTTTCAGTGGACTTTTGTAAGAAAAAAAACTCCTTGTAGCTACAGAGTTCCCTTGAAGCAATGAAAATATTTTTTAATGCATCAAGTGTGTAACATCTAGAAAAAATGAATTTTGGTAATTTCAGTACACAGACAATCATTACAATTGGCAAAGTACAATGCAATCTTATTAATTTCTGATCTGTGCAAAGTTTATTGTCCAAATATGAGCTTGACAATAACGTGGAAGAATTTAGGTAGTGTCACCAAATTTATTAATTGGATTTAAATCATTTTGTCAAATATTTCAGGGTACACATCCGGAAAAAGAACAATTGATGGATGCTCATACTTTTTCCATTGCACATGAAATTTCAGAACCTAGGATGCAATGCTCAGATTTTTTTTTTTTTTTACAGTACTGTAGATAAGAGGCTTTAGGTCAGAGTGATGCATAAGTTTATATAGGTCAAGGAATACATTTGAGCAGCATGCTAGAAGCTGGACACCAAAAAATAGCAAGTGGGCCTAGGACAAAGTAACTTCTCATTTACCATCTGTGTAGTAGAGTGTGCATGTATTGGATTTAGGATTCAGGGAGACCCACTTCAAAATTTATCTTTGGGTCTCTCAAGTGTTTCTTTCAAACTCATATAGGTCTGATATCCCACATTGTGCATCTTTGATGTAGATAATATGCTTTCTCCTTTGGATTAACTGTTACTGCTCCTATCATCAAGCTTGAGAGAAAATCTATTCTAAGTGCACTTATTTTTAACTATAAGTACTATTGCTTCGTATGGAAATGAACGCACCACAGAATGAGGCGAGACAGCTAAATTGATTGCTCAGGCTTTATTGAATTCGTGCGCTAACAGCGAATGAACCACTCAGTCGTGAGGCAACAGCTGTTGGCCTGTTTGACAGCTCCTTATATAGTCAGCTGTCAAACTACCGGCCAATCAGGTTGTGGCAGGGCGCCCCCTGCTGGAAACCGGACCAGAGGGGGAACTCAGAACATAGCACTCCTTCCCACCTCGACAGCGCATGCGTAGTCTTCGAGGTAGGCCGGGCGGCGCTGGATCCTAGTTGATCTGCGCAGCGATGGTTCGTTGGATGTGGCGGGAACCTCTTCGGCTGGAACCTCTTCAACCAGAACTTCCGACTGCTGTAGTTGGACCTCTGCTGGTGATTCCTCGACCCATGGCCTCTCTGGTCAGTGTGGCTGCTGGCGTGTTGCTGGTGCAGACAGTCTTGTGTCGGTTCCTGAGAACTCATTGTTCTCCCTAGTTAATACAGCTCGTGGCCTCAGGTTCCGTCACCCCCTTAATTGATTAATGTGGCGTCTCCAGGTCCGGCCATCCTCTAACTTCACAATGTACGAACATGGCCCGGTTATGCTCGTTATGGACGTTGGTAGCCACAGGGGATTACCAGTGTAGTTCCTTGCAAATACCTCACAAATACATCAAATTCCCTGGTGTTGCTATGCAAGTCAAGGGGCTTGTCTGGTGAATAGGCAGGATGCAGCCTATCTAACACTGTTCTAAGTCTTCGGCCCATTGATAATTCTGCTGGGCTATGATTTGTGGATGGACATGGGGTGGAATGCTGAATTAGTAGATACTGGGCTACTCTAGTTGGCCATGGCCATGGGCCCATCTTTGCTAGAGCCTCTTTCACAGATCTTACCTCTCATTCTGCCATACCATTACTAGAGGGATTGAAAGGAGCAATTAATGCATGTCTTATGCCTAAACTAATGAGAAACAGCTCAAAACTTCTTGAGGTAAATTGTGGCCCATTATCTGATACAATTAGATCAGGAAGCCCATGGGTGGCGAACACCTTTTGTAAAGCTAAGCTGACAATTTCAGATGTTGTAGAGGTCATGAAAACTACCTCAACCCACTTGGAGAAAATGTCTACTAAGATGAGAAAGGTCTGGCCTTGGAAGGGCCCTGCAAAATCAATGTGCAGGCGTGACCATGGACCTCTGGGGGCTTCCCACTCTCTTACTGGGGTTTTGGGGGGTAATGGTCTAGTTTCCTGACACGCCTGACACCCTGACACACATTCAGATATTGCCTGGTCCATCCCCAGCCACCACACATAACTTCAGCCTAAGGACTTCATACAAACGATGCCTGGGTGACCCTTGTAGAGTGCCTCCAGTACGTGCTTTTGTAAGGATGAGGGAATTACCACTCTACTCCTCCATAGTAAACAACCCTTGCTGCAAGACAGCTCTTGTTGCCTTATTTTGAAGGAACGACAATCAGCAGGCACAAACTCTTGTGGCCATCCCTTTTCACCCAGTCCAGAATTTGCCTTAAGAGTCTGTCTTTAGCTGAATGGGCAGCAATGTCTGCAGCAGTCAGTAGGAAGTCCTGTTGATGGTCAATGAGGAGGATGGATTCCCCAGCCTCCTGGTCCTCTGCTGCAGCTGGAATCGGGCACCTGCTGAGGGCATCGGCATGGCTGACATGTTTGCCCAGCCGATATGTCAGTGTGTATGAGTATGCTGCCCCCAAAAAACCCCACCTTGTCATTCGAGGGGAGAGTATTTGAGGAGTCTGTTTATCCCAAGCGAATAAGCCTAGTAAGGGCTTATGATCCGTGATAAGTTCAAACTTATGTCCATAAACATACTCGTGGAAACATTTAATGCCAGTAATGGCAGCAAGGGCCTCATGATCTATTTGGCTGTAATTGCGTTCTGCCGGTGATAGGGTCCTAGAGAAAAACGCTATAGGGGTCTCAGAGCCATTAGGCAGTCTATGACTCAAAACCGCCCCTACTCCCTATGGAGAAGCATCGCATGCTAACCCTAATGGTAAGCATTCGTTGAACTGTACGAGAATAGAGCCTGGAGTTAACAAGTCCTTCACAGCCTTAAAAGAGCTAGCCTCTTTCTTGTCCCAAGCCCAAGGTGATTTTTTATCTAAAAGTCTGTGTAGGGGTTCAGCTACTGATGCCTTGTGAGGAATGAAAATGGCGTAGAAATTCAGGAGGCCAAGGAAAGCCTGCAGTTCAGTTTTGTTGTTTGGAGTGGGAGCGTTTTTTCTGGCTTGGACCTTAGCTGTCATGGGATGAATTCCAGCAGCATCGATCAGGAACCCCAGGAACTCCACCTTAGATACGCCCAAATGGCACTTACTCTTTTTTAGTTTCAAACATGTTGCCTGGAATCTCTTAAAAACTTCCCTTAGGCTGTCTAAATGTGCCTTTTCATCTCTAGCTGACACAATAATGTCATCAAAGTATGGAACGACTCCAGGGATGCCTTGTAAGAGTTGTTCCATTAGGGACTGGAATATCCCAGGGGCAGCACTAATGCCAAATTGTAGCCTATTGCATCTGAATGCCCCTCTATGTGTTACTATAGTCTAGGTTTCTGTGGTGGCTGAGTACACGGGAAGCTGCTGATACACTTGAGCCATGTCAAGCTTTGCAAAAAAATTTCCGTTACCCAGTGAATACAACAGATGTTGCACCACAGGCACTGGGTACGCACTTTGCTGTAATGTCAAATTAAGGGTTGCCTTATAGTCAGCACACACCCTGACTGATCCATCAGCCTTGAGTGGCGTGACAATTGGGGTCTCCCAAGGAGCGTGATCTATTGGCTCTAATACCCCTTGTGATATAAGCTTATCGAGTTCAGCATCGATTTTTGGGTGGAGTGCGAAGGGCACTCGCCTGGCTTTCAATCTCCTAGGCATAACTGAAGGGTCTAAATTCAGCGAAATAGGTTTCCCTGTATATTTACCTAGGTCATTGTCAATTCCTTTGCCAGTGCGTCTATGGTGTCAGTGCTTTGTCCATTTGTGGCATGCACTCCACTTATGGCCAGACCTAGGGATTTGAACCAGTCAAGGCCCAGTAAACTTGGCAATGCCCTTTCCACAACTATTAGTGGGTGACGGCCTTTGAATTGTTTGAAAACTACTGTCACTTTAGTGAGACCCAAAATGGGAATTGTATTCCCTTGATCGTCTCTTAATGTGAAGGAACAGGGTCTTAATCTTTTCTTTGCCATTTTGGGCACCAACCATTTGATTGTGCTCCAACTAACCAATGACAAAGAAGATCCTGTGTCAACCTCCATTTGATAATCCTGTCCCTCAATTTGCACTGAAAGAAATTTTTTTCTTTAGTGATAAGTTTGTTTGCCCTACTCTGGGTTTGATGTGGCAGTTATCCCTTTGGATGGTGAAACACTCTTCCCCCAACCTAGGAACTTTTCTAGGGGTCCCCTTCATTTGTCCTTGTTTTGCCTGGACTCTGTCATCAGGCAGGATAGCTCTGCACTTCCTAGCTAAATGGCCTCTCTTTCTGCAGCGCTGACAGTTTGCAATTCGAAATCTGCAGGCTGCTCATGGATGGTTTCCTCCGCACCCTATGCAGGATTGTGCCTGGCCTGTTTTTGTGAATTGCCAATTATTACCTGATGCAGTCTTCAGCCGGTGGATGTCATCATCCCCTGGTAGATCGAGGTCTTCCTCTGTAGCCTCTTCTTGGTAGACAGCTAAAGTTTTTCTCCCTGAAGCTGGGCTGCTCGCGCCATGAATCTCTACCGTCGACTTGTTGGATGGCTCTGCAGTGCAGGCTTCGTCCAATGCTGATTGTTGTGTCAGGTCAGGCTTTGCTAGTAGTCTGCGCTGGATTCGGAGGTCTTTTAACCCACAGACTAAGATCCAGCAAGGCATCATCTAGCTGTTTAAACTCACAATGGAAAGCAGCTGTTCGGAAACCTGCCATAAATCGATTAACAGTTTCCCACTCAGCTTGCTCGTGACGGTGAAATGCCTGCCTATGGGCAATTTGTGAGGGAGTTAGAGTGTAATGGTTCTTAAACTTTGCCATTAACGCCTCCCAGGTGACAGAATTCAGGGGCTTAGGTGCTAACAGAGCTGTGGCTGTGTCAAACATTTGTTTGCCACAGAAATTTAGAAACAGCGCCCTTCGCCGGCTGCCTGTCAAATCCACCAGATCGTTTGCCTCTAGGAAACAGTCAAAACGCTCAATATATGACTCCCAAGTCTCTGTTGATGCATCAAATGGCGCTAATGAATTTAACGCTGCCATTCTGAACAGCTTCACAGAATCCTTGGTCCTTAGGCAGGTGACTGGTGGACTTTATCGAGCTCCCTCAGCGTGACTTTGCTCTTTTTGTATGCCCTTCTGGCTTGTTTGGCTCTCTCTGCCACAGTGATCAGCTCTTTTGGTTGCCCCACAGGAGGACTTCAAGCTTGCCTAATGCCTCGAGGGTGGCAATCCCACCTTCGTCGCCAGTGCTTGGTACTGGGAATGAACGCACCACAGAATGAGGTGAGGCGGCTAAATTGGTTGGTCAGGCTTTATTGAATTCGCGCGCTAACAGCGAATGAACCACTCAGCCGTGAGGCAACAGCTGTTGGCCTGTTTGACAGTTCCTTATATAGTCGGCTGTCAAACTACAGGCCAATCAGGTTGCGGCTGGGTGCCCCCTGTATTAGAAAATGGAAGTTTGCCAGGTAATGGAGGGATTGCCATATTACCAGTGCTTAAGTATCTGCAGTGGTTTTCTTCAGGTTGTAAATTATATTTGTGGAGTTGTGTTTAATAGTACTGAGAATAATAGTACTGAGAATAAGAATAATGAGAGGGAATAAGGGCTCAGTTTTCTATATGGTTCCTATTTTGCTTTTTTTGGTAGATCCCAAAGCCATCTCCTGCTGCAGATATTGAAAATTCTTGGCATGCTTTCTTAAACCTAATGAACTGAAATATAAGCCTTAAAGTAGGCTTATTATAATGCTATAGTGTTATGATAAATAAAAACAAATAAAAAATTCTGCAACAAGAAATAAAAAGAGACTATTGTGATTTTGTCCATGTGTGTGACACAATTCCACCCACTTGTCATTGCTCCATTTAATATTGGGTTTTCCGTTTCCCCCTCAAAAAACCACCTGGTCACAAAAAAATTTCCTCACAAGACCTTGTTCATTTTTCAGATTAAACATGACTAAGAAGTCAAATCATTCAAGATTATTTTCTAAAGAGACAAACATCAGGGTGCCAATATTTCTTGCTTTTGCTCCATGGACAAAACATGTGAGAATATCACTCAACTGAATAATGGGCCAACTTGTTTCATCCCAAGCTCCTTGTCTTTATGATGCTTTATCCTGCCACCTCTAATAATTAAGGGTTGCTAATGTTTAGGAATATTCATATTCAAATTTTAACCAAAGAATTAATCTGAAAATCAGCCATTAGAATTTTTCTGGAAAGAGCTTGAATAAAATGCTCCAGGTGGTTAAGTGGTGCTGAAATATTGCCAGAGCAGCTGAAGTGTTTTACATATATGTTATAATTACATTATTTTTTCTTTTGGAAAGCAACAATCTTCCCATTCATTACACAACTACCAACTATACCTCAGGGGACTTCAAGAATAATTGCTTAAATTGCAAACAAATTGCACAATAATCTTTTAAGCTAATTCGTCCATAAATATATTGCTGGAAGGCTATTTGTAGCAAATTTCCTTTAAAATGCATGTGAAGATTAAAAGAGCAAGTGAATTCTCAGAGATCCTGATATGAATTGACAACCTTTCCATTCCATTCACTGGAATTCTTGACCATTCTGATTTTGAATATTTTGTATATATTCAACCTTTGAAAATCAGATTTGAAATAAGATAACAATATTACAAATGGTTTAAAAAATAGCAACCAAAAGCACATATAGAAGTCATTCTGACTTAATGATAGTTCTTGGTACTGGGAACTCTATCACTAAACCAAATGGTTGTAAAAATGTGACATCATGTGACTACTGACTTATGATGGCAATTGTAGCAGTTCCAGTTGCCATCTTTAAGTGAATCCTGCCCAATCATTAAATGTAATATTGCTATTTGCGACTTCCTACTGTTTTCCCCTATTGGCTTGTCAGAAGCCAACAGTGAAGATCACAAACAGTGATCATATGATTGCAGAATGTTGTGACTGGAGCAATTGCAAAATGCCTGCAAGGCACCTGAATTGCAATCTCAGGATAGTTGCAACTAGTGTGGTAAATGTTTGTCAGTCTAGAGCACAAACCTGAGATTTAGCAGTTATTGGAAAAATGACACACTTCTTTGGAGTCTGCAACAGTTTTATTTATTTTTTCATTTACTGTACAGAATGAAAAGATAATTTATTAATAACTGCTAATATGTCAAATAGAGAATATTTATTTCACTTGAATAGACAGTAAGTGGTTCGCAATTTAAAAGTCATGAGGAAGTTTTTAATTCAGTGGAAAAAGTTCACTGGACTAAAAGAAAAAAAAACTATGCTTGAGTATTCCCATTTTCTTATAATTTGAATGAAACGCCTGAAAATCTGTATCAGAGAACTCCCCCTATCCTCCACACCAACTCATATTGAATTGAATTGAATTAGGATGGCCTATTGAATAAGATGAGACTATTTTGCTGTGAGGGTTGTGTCCCTTTGTGTCTGAATGGAATGTGACTGAGGGATGCCTTTGCTGGTGAAATAAATTCTGAATATCATTCACAGGACTACAGCACTTCACCAAAAATGTGTAAATTTTGCTTTATGTTTCTTTTGTTATTCATTTAAAAATGCAGATAATAATGATACTGGAAATAGCAATAACCTTTTTATATATTGGATGAAAGACTTCAAGTAACAATCTTTTTCTTAAAATTCAATAGCTTTGTCAGGCCATTTTTTTTGTTATTAATGCACACCTAGATGCCTATTTCCTTGTATGAGTTTCTAAAAACATTAAGAAGCAAACAATGTGAGAACTATCTCCAGTGGAACAGCTGAAACAAAAAACAAAGAGATGATTTTGCTTATAATTTGTGGAATATTTAAGAACAGAAGACAACCAAGATTATAGAACTTTGTCTTTCTTTATTTTCTCCAGACGGTTAAATACCTTGAATAAGTATGCAGAAATGAAGATGGAAATAAGTAAGCCAAGAAAGCGGGTATGTTTATCATTCATGAAAAAATGTTTACCATAAAGTGAAAGACATTTGTATGCAAGGTTATGCTTGCCTCAGGATTACATGTCAACCTTTGCTTGTAGTTACCGTATTTGCCGGCGTATAAGACGACTGGGCGTATAAGACGAGCCCCCAACATTTCCACTCAAAATATAGTTTTTGTTATATACTCGCAGTATAAGACGACCCCCCCACTTGGAGGCATGCTTTTCAAGGCAAAAAAGTCGTCTCATACGCCGGCAAATACGGTAAGTTGTAACACTTGGGGTATTCTGGATATAATTCTTGATTGACACCCCCAACCCCTTTCCCCCAAACTTACAAAGCCACCAAAATGCTTTAGAGAGGCAGCTTCGCCTTTCTCAGGCTGGCACTCAATTCCTCTCCCTTTCTTTGTGACAGCCCCCGCGTGCGTGCCATCGGGACTCCAAGGGTGGGGGATGGACAGCTGCCAACTCTCTCTCTCTCTCTCTCTCTCTCTCTCTCTCTGTGTGTGTGTGTGTGTGTGGTGTGGAGGGTAATTCCGGCTATCTCTGGCCTCCGCTCGGTTTTAAAGTCGCTTGGCCGGTTCCCAAGTCGCAAGCTCGCGCTGGCCGGGAGACGCGGCGCCGGGTGGAAGCTCGGTGCAGGGGAGGCAGATCTTTCTCTCTTAAGCGGGGAGGGGAGGAGGGGACAAGAGGAGGGACGGGACGGGACAGGGGGCGGGAGGAGGGCGCTCGCCTTCTTCCACCGCCCACCGGACCCTTTTCTTCCCAAGGGAACCCTGGAAAGCAGCTCGGGAGCCGGGTGGCCCTGCCCAGCGGGGTCCCATCAGGAACTTCCTGAGGACACCCCCCCCGCCCCAAGCACAGCCCTCCCGGTCTTTCAAAGAGGGAGGGAGAAGCGGGAGGAGCAAATTGCCGCCCCCGCCCCGCTGCCCAGAAGGAGGGGCGCCACAGTCCACCCCCACCACCTTCTCCCCCCCCCACTCCCCGGGCCATTACGCGGCTCGGGGCTGGCTGGGCGAAGCGGCCCCGCCAGAGACCCTCCCGCTCCACCCCCACCCCACCTCCAGATTGGCCTCCGCAAGCGCCCCGAGCCGGGCGGAGGGTGGGTGGGTGGGAGGAGGAGGAGGAAGAGAGACTTCGGCTGGGCTTGAAGGGGCTTCGCAAGTTGCGGAGCTCCGCCCCCGTCGCTCTTGCACCGAGTGACAATGTATTTACCGGCGTATAAGATGACCCCCCCACTTGGAGGCATGTTTTTTAGGGCAAAAAAGTCATCTTATACGCCGGCAAATACGGTAGTTATGAATGAGGCTGTTGTATTACCTACCTCTGGCAAAGACCATTCCTGGCTTGTCCACGGTCCATCATGTCATCTACTCACAACTTTTATTCTTATTAACCAAACAAATGAGGCTAAAATCATCTCCAGTACATTACATTTGTCCTTCTGAATCTGCTCATGGACATATGACCGTCAGCATTAAAAAAAACCAGTGGTTATAAGCAGATGATTTGAAAAATCTTTAAAAAAACAAAACATCCTATACCTAGTAGGAGATGATTCAGAGGCTGAATGGAACAAACTACTTTGGGGCAATTGGTTGTCTTCATGACTAACTGATTACTTGATAGAATCGTATAGAAATTTGTTTCTTGACATATTATTCACTATAAAGACTGCTTTCCTGCTGGTATTAATTTTCAGTTATGAATATAGTCTGAAATATTTTATCCTAAATACCATCAGTACACTCTATTCCCTCTATAAAATTTATGATGTTAAATGAGGTGAGTGTGTTTTGAGATATAATATTCTTAATTACTATATTTTTAAACTAAAATGGATGTAGTTAAAATAACATTGGGCTAGATTTTTTTTCACCCAAGCATTTTTTATATACAAGATATGTTTGTCTGTGCTTGTGTGATAAAGGTATTAACAAATTTATATCTGCAGCATTACATGATTCTACCAGTTCATTTATTGCATCTATAATGTTAAATGGCTCAATCATCTCTTCTAATTTCATGGAAGACCATAAAGATATGGCTCTTTCCCAAATACTGGCTAGGATGGAGGCTGAGTCAAGATACTCATTGATGTAGTGCCTGGTAGGAAGGATGGTTTTGTTATGATTCCTGTTTATATTAATTATTGTCAGCTGCCCAGGATCATTGTATGAATTAGGTAGCCATATTAGTTCTTTAAATAAAGTAGATAATAAAGAAATTACTAAATTTATGTAATATTTAACTGTTGAATTCCCAAAAGTTCATTAAAGGATATCTTGATTTGAAACTCTTTCACTTATAAGGCAATGTTTAGGTTGAACACATTTGTTTGAAAGTTGCAAAAAGAAGATGTTGCATACTTAAATAAAATATTCCAATGCTGTTCTCAAATATTAAAATCAGGTGAATTTGCTTGCTTTGCTAGAGCTGTATATGTCTATAAATGAGCTATACAACTATAGCAGTAGGTTTGCCATTTTTTTCTCTTCTAGCATTAGCCTTTAAAAAAAAAATGAAATTGTCAACTGTGAACCAGATTGAGCCTACAGCAGTCATCTTCCATTTCTCAAGTTGCCACACAGCTCGGGGAAGGGGGAGAGGAATGGAATGCGAACTAGCCAGAACAAGTGCTATCTCATGGGAACCAAGGTTGCTCCCAACAGGTGCCGGCCAGAGACTGAAACCAATCGCCAAGCAGACACCAGAACACCTAATTGTGACACTAGGGGAGGGGGGAATCTCTAACTTTTAATTATACTGAAACTGTAGGAAATAACTACAGCTGGTGTTAGGGTCATCCGTGCCAAAATGATGTACTCAATAAAGCAGTTCTTTGAGGAAGCTGAAAGTCTCAGAGTGCTGACTTGTTTGGGTTTGTTAGTCAGAACCTTGACAGAAACATTAGTTTGGAAAATGAAACAGTTAATGCTATTTTCAGTTCTTGATTATCTATGTGGTATTATGTATTAAATTTCTTTGTTTGCTTTAAGAGTGATGAATCTGAAGATGAAGAACTTTGTGCAATAAGTAACAAATGGACTTATGAGAAAGGTACCAAAAGATGGTCCCATCTGGAAAACATAAAGGTTTCTTGTGCACTAAGACCTGATAACTTGAGACTTAAAAGCAACGCCAGTGGGGATATTATCTTTTCAGCTCAAGGAGACATTCACGAGAAATCTTCAGTTCATAGTTCTAGCAGTGACGATAGTGATATAATTAATTTTCCCAAAATTTGTGGGGATGTTGAAACCAGCAGAAGCTCTTCAACCTGTTCCTCAAATAAATTGGCATCCCCTGAATCTGTTTCCAGTTGCTCTCCTTCTGTTACTGAGACCTTAAATATGACAAGTGAGGACAAGAACTTGGATAAACTATGCCATAAAAAAGGAAACAGTTTCTTAAAGACAATGGAGAAGCTGCGCTTAAGAAGTGGCACCTGTAAGAAACAAATGCATTTGAAGACCAAATTCAACATTAGTGAGCCTATTCTCCTAGAGGGATTGAGTGAAGAAAAGTTGAGAAGCTTAAATTGCGTAGATATTTCTGATGCACCAGTCAGTCGGGTGATGCAGCCTTCTTACTATCCTCAGAGCTGTAGTAGCAGCAGCAGCAGCAGTCAGTCTGGAGACAGTAGCACTGTGAGCACCCCAAGCCCAGTCAGCAAAGTAAGGAGACACAGTAAAAGAGGAGGAATGTACGCTGAAGAGTTTGATCCCAGCAAGCTTTCCTTAAGGAGTGATTTTTCTGAGCAGAGCTTCAACAGTGAGATATGTTTGCACAAAAACAAAGTATTTCAGGTACCACAAGGTCATAAGCCTGGGACTTTCCCCAAAGCGCTTACATATAGTCTGTTATCTCCAATAGACAATACCTCAGTAAACTGGAGAACGGGGAGTTTTCATGGATGCCAGAGAAGCAGGGATAAGATTAATTCTCAGGAGACTGAAGGGTCATGTGACTCTCCTTCACTGATGGATAACAGGCTGAGTATATATGACAATGTGCCAGAAAATCTTCACAAAATGAATTCACCAGAGACTGATGATGATGATGTCTTTACGGAATTAGACAATATTATGGAACACGTGAATGGACTCAGGAAGTTGGTCAGCCAATGGACAGAGAAATTATCTGATGATGGCGACTCTGATTCTGCAAGCTACTCCAACCAATCCACTTCTCCATGCCCATCATCTCCTAAGGAAATCCTTCTTGAAATTAAAAAGCATTCAGAAGAAAAATCATCAGAGTTGCCAAATATTGATGGTGAAGACAGCTACCGACATCTTGGTGAACAGGGTCTAATGGAACTGACGTATGTAATGGGAACAGGAACAGGGTTGATGCCAACACATTCCATCAGGTTTGTTGAAATTGCAGAGAATCAGAATAAAATGTGACGTGTAATAAATAAGTTAATCTGATTAACCCTGAAAGCAGTCTATATTAAATGCTGTTGGATTCATTGCTTAATAATTACAGTGAAAACTAAATGTGAAATGTTTCAGGTTTTGATATATAATTATTATGACTGGCAAATTATTAATTTTATATAATTAAGTTATGAATGCCAAAAGAAAGTAGAGTTGAATACCAACAGTAACAGGAATCTTAGGTGCAATTCCAAAGCATCTGGAGCACTCTTTTAACATGATCAGCATTGACAAAGTCACCATCAGTTAACTGCAAAAGGCAGCATTACTTAGAACAGCTTATGTTCTGAGACATTATATTTAATGTTATTAAACAACAATATCTGTTTAACGCAGGTCAATGGGAAGGACTCGATAGGTGGACAGAAATACCCAATCCACTCTAACGATCTGGTTGATTTTGCAACCAAGTATAATAATATATTCTTATAAGATATTTTCAAACGTTTAGAATTTTCAATGGGTCAATATACCTTTAGATATAGAATGAGTACTGAAAATGGCATTAATACTAAAGAACATTTATGGTTTTTGTTTTTTAGGCATGGGAGAAGACCCTGGTCTAGTAGAGAAGACACTCATTTTGAAAGTCTTTCTCTACAAATGGACAGCCAATCAGCAACTTGTCTGAACCGCATGCAAAAGCTTGCTCTGTTAAAATTAACTACTTTGATGGACAAATACTCTCCATCTAGCAAACAAGGATGGAATTGGTAAGTTAAAAGAGCTTTAGAATTTTATGGGCAAAACTGACAATGTTCCAGAGTGTTTCACTTTTGCAGGAGTGCATTGTACATTTCTAAAAGTATATCTTTTAGATCAACAAGTATTTCTTGATGTTCCAATTTGGCTCTGAACCTAGAACACTCCAATTGGCATATTCTGGTAGAAAGTGAAACATTCAAGACATTGCCTACTTTAACAATTTAAATAAAGATAGCTCAGTTGAAATTATTACCAAAGTCTACTTACATCTCTGCTGCTTGTTTTCTAGCAGGGCTGCCACATGATCCCAGAAAAATATTAGTTTAAGGAGGTGCCACATGTGTTCTGAATTGTTTTGTCTCTTTTCAGTATGGCTCATAGCACAGCCCTACTTTGTAGTATCTAATTCCATCATTGCATCTAGCTCTTTATGTTAGTGATGTAGCATTTGATACAAACCATTTAATATATTGTATCTAAATTAAAAACAAGCAGTTGACAGACTTTAGGATAGCGGTCGCCAACCAGTGGGCCGTGGCCCACAGGTGGGCCGTGAGAAAATTTTGGTGGGCCGCAGAGAAATCACACCCCCAGAGCACCCCCACAAAGCAATTAATCCAGGCTGCGCAGAAACACAAGGCTGCACCGCCCACATGGCCCGCAGAAACCTTCCCCACCTACTCACTCCTTACCCAGTAAAGTTGCCTGCTAAATTGCTATTTTTCCTTTTTCCAACCATCATCTGTTCTGCTGTGCCGGGACATTTAGATTAGCTAGGAAGCAGGAAATGGTTGGATTTCTTGCTTTCTAGCTAGTCTTTAGAACTTCGGCTCTGCTTTTAAGCACAGCCAAACCTCCCTTAGGACTGAAGGTTTGCTTGCAAGCAAATTCAGTGCAGACTCACAGCAAGCAAATTTGAGATACTGAGCTAGCTGATGGCAGATAGATAGATCACTGAATGATTCAGCAACTCTGCCTGCTTTGCCTGATTTTGGGTAAAAGTTGCTCTTTTTTATAAAAAAAATCAATATTTACATGTGTGGTGTGTTGTGAGTTAATTTTGTGAGTTTGCTTGCTAGCAAATTTTATGAGTTTGCTTGTAAGCAAGTTTTATGTGACAGACTGAGCTAGACAATGACAAATAGATAGATTTCTGAATGAATCTCTGATTCTGTGAGCAATTCAATCTTCCTGCCTGCTTTGCCTGATTTGGGGTAAAAGTTGCTCTTTTTTTATAAAAAAATTCAATATTTATATAAATATTTATAATGCCCAACCAGTCACATGACCACCAAGCTACACCCACAAATTAGGCCACACCCACAGAACCGGTTAGTGGTCCGTGGGATCTAAAATTATGAGATTGGTAGTCCCTGAGGTCCAAAAGGTTGGTGATCCCTGCTTTAGGGGATATTTTGGTATAGGTTTAAAATAGATGAAGAAAGATATAAACAGCAGTGCAGTCTAAAGCCAAAGGAATAATATTTAAAGGTCAGCTGGTGTGTGGTAATTTACAGTATGTAGATATTGAATATTGATACAAGATTCAGTAATGCTGATATTGAATCTTCAGCCAAATGCAGGAGAAATAAAGCCTTTTTTTCTTATCTGTTTGGCCTTGTACTGATGCAGGAATGTCATGGAGCAGGATAGGAGCCACTTTTGGCACATTTTAGGTGAAATTATGGAATATATTAAGTGCAAACATTGTGCAGGTTTAACTGACCTACTTTCTAGTACAAATCACATTGTTGAAACCAATAATTTTGCTACCAAAAACTGGTGTTGTAATCAAGAAATACTCAGAAGCTTTGAACCTGAAAGGAAATTGGAACTAGAGGGAACTAGAACTAGAGGAAAGGTACAGCCAGAGAAGGGGTCATTGATTCTGCATTAGGGTTGTTCCTACCCTAATACAGAAGACCCTGGAAACATTGTTTTTCATCGGTCATTATCATGAAATGCAATGATAAAAATTCTTGTTTGGTTAAAAAGAAGGTTATTTATTCACATTAAAAAAGTCAACCAAACTTGGTAAAAATTGTAAATAAAACAAATAATTATGTCTAAATAGCTTGTTTCTCTATAAAGTTGAAATTTATTAAGCAATGTAAGTAATGTCCTTCTGATACTGCTTTGTCACTTCGGGATTTTTAACCTGTTATATCCTATTAATAAATTCAAAAACCTGGTTTTATGCACTTAGCTCTGTGCCAACCAGAAACTCTTGTCCACTAATGAATTATTTCCATATTTTCAGGACTATTCCAAAATTCATTAGAAAATTAAAAGTCCCTGATTATAAAGATAAAAATGTATTTGGAGTACCATTACTGTTAAACGTTCAAAGAACGAGTCATCCCCTTCCAAGGAGCATATTCCAAGCTATGGACTACCTAAGACACAATTTTCTTGACCAGGTACCAGTCTGAAATGTATTTAGGTTCACATCCGTAGTCTTTCTTTCTCAATTTCTGTCTGTCTGTCTGTCTGTCTGTCTGTCTGTCTGTCTCTCTCTCTCTCTCTCACACACACACACACACACCAGTAGAAGTCCAGTGCACTGATTTCTCAGGCCTTGAGAATTATTTGTTTGTTATTATTATTGTTTATTTAACTGATATCTCATCTTTATTTTTACTAGAACTCAAGGCAACAGACATATCCCATATACCTTCCTGCTCCTATTTACCCCACAACAACATTCCTGTGATGTGGTTTAGGTTGAGAGGGAGTGACTGGCCCAAAGTCGCCCCAACTAGCTTTCATATAGCTAAGATGGAACTTGAACTCATGGTTTCTTGCTTGGTGCCTTAACCATTAGACCAAACTGGCTCTATTGGCGTGTAAATAGTAAATAGTACTTAAATGAATTGGTACTTAAATAGGTACATTCTCTTCAACCATAATTAACTTTGACACATGTATGATGACAAACTCTCTCTTTGTGCCTACCCCATCTTTTAGTTTTCAGAGCTGTTTTTCATAAATCTTTTTAAAGAAAAATCTCTAGTAATTTCACATTTATATCATGCTTTTTTCCCAGTAATATATTACCTTACATTACCTGTTGTGTCCATAGCTTTTCTGCTAAATCTAAACTGTTTATTTCATTCATTTGGGGTTTGGAGCATGAGGTTGATTATACCTAATTGGCTAACTCACTCTCTCAAGGTTTGCTCCTTCTTTATTGTAATTATTAATAGAAGTTGTGCACATGCCACTCATGTTTTAATGCGCTAAGTATTTACTATCAATGGATAGTAATTAGTGCTGTTTCAGCACTATGTTCTCATATGCAGTTTAACACTAATGAAGTGATAAGCTGCTCCTTCAGAAGTTGCTGAACAGCTCATTTTATGCCTCCATGGCCAAGGTGTGTGTGTGTGTGTGTGTGTGTGTGTGTGTGTATGTTATATTTATGTATGTGTATGTGTGTATACTGTATATGTTTTCTTAAGTTTTCGTGAGTGTTTATATGTATGGTATTCAGCTTTGTTCGGGTATACAGACGAACACTATACAGAAGCCTGATGATGGCAGATGAGATTCTGCCGAAATGTTGCTACAACTTTAAAAGCACAACTACAATGACGTGGGAAAATACCCGAACAAAGCTGAATACCATGTATGTATGTATATGTGTGTGTGTGTGAGTGTGTGTGGGAGTGTGTGTGTGTGTGTATATGTATATGTATATGTATATGTATGTGTGTGTATATATATATATATATATATATATATATATATAATATATATATAATCTTTTAAAACATTCTGTTTTCTAGGTTGGTCTTTTCAGAAAATCTGGTGTTAAATCTAGGATCCTTTACTTAAGAGAAATGAATGAAATTAACCCAAATAACATAAATTATGAGGGTCAATCGGCCTTTGATGTGGCAGACATGTTGAAGCAGTATTTCCGAGATCTTCCAGAACCTATATTCACCAGCAAGCTCTGTGAAACTTTCCTGCACATCTATCAATGTATGTACATGCTTTATTGTTTTTGGGTAAGAGATGGAAGAGAGATCATTTCTGGTAGAGGATATGGGGAAGGAGGTGTTTCTGGTTCACTTGGTTTGATGAGATAGTGGAGATTTCCCTACCCCCCAGCTAACCAGATTTAAGAGCAAGAGGGGCAGGGGTTGGTATGGTGTGTGACTTGATGGAGGAGTAATTAGGCTAGGTAATCAGATTGTGGGTTCAAATGCTTGCACAAGCATGTGATTGATGCCTAGATTGGACAGTTATTTTGGTCATCTAGTATAAATGGAAAACTTCATTAACTGGTGGAATGTCATGTATAATTATGACCAGGCAGTGATCTCATAGTAATAATGGGAGCATAGGGAAATATGGGAAAATATGTGTTGGTTCACTCTCAAGAAGCCTCAGTGTCCAGTACCAATACTGAATTCTAGCTGTCTAGGCTCAGCCACAAGATACCAGAGCATTAGTGGTCATAGTCTCCATTTGCTGCTGCTTAATGTAAGGAAGGTCTGTGTAAGACTTACTTCATTTATTATTTGGTGTGAAGTTGGGGGCCAATGAGCAGTCCAGTCTTAAAAATGTGTGCAGCTGGATTATGGGTATAGCACCAGCCACAACTCTGGACCAAAGGCAGAATATAGGTATTGTCTTCTGCTGTTCTGAAGATAGCTGAATGAAGTTAGGATTTAAAAATCAATTTGGGTTGCTTCCATTTTTTCTTTGAAACAGTATCATCTGATAGGACCCAAGAGGTTTCCGTTTTCCAGAGTCTGTCCTATGGAACAACTCCTCTTTGAGATTCAGATGGCCTCAATCCTCTTGGCTTTCTGGGAGACTATAAAAACCTAGTTTTCTCCTCAGATGTTGGGTCTGAGATATTAGTGGAGCTTAGTATGGATATCTTCTTTTGTGATGTCAAGTACTTGGTGGATCTGAATCAAATTGATGTTGCTTTATGATTTTTTTAAAAAATGTATATATTTTTGGTTAGCTACATATAGTTATTTGTTGAATAAGAGACCACACACATTTGTTAAATTGATTAATTCATTTCTGGACATTTCAATTATTATTTTATTACTGGGAAATTCTATGCTTTCTTAATGTAATCATATTATTACTTCTACTGGTATAACTAAGGCACAAGTTAGAGTCGGGCAGAATAGCTTTTATTGATTTTTTTCTTAGAAATGCAAAGATTCTTAATGATTCACCATTTAGTTCACTTAATTACAATTAATCTTTGGATATTCTGTATTCCTTAATTTAGATTTTAACACAATTAAATATAACTGGAAACTAGGCCTGGGTGGCAACTTCTTTTTAAGATAATATAGATAATATAAATGTAGGGGGCATGCATAAGCGCACCAACGTGCCTACTGTCCCTGTCCTATTGTTTCTTTTTATTTTTGTTATATGTATCCATTTCATGTATTCATAACTATGTTTACACTTATACCTGTTCTCTTATAACCGCTTGACAAATAAATAAATAATATATACATTTTGTTTAAGAAATGCTTTTAGAGATAACATATCTAATTCCTCGTTTCCTTCCTTTTTTTTAGATCTACCAAAAGATCAGCAATTTTGTGCTGTCCAGGCTGCTATTCTTCTTCTCCCAGATGAAAATCGTGAAGCTCTGAAAATTCTGTTGTACTTCCTTAGGGATGTTGTGACATTTGTGGAAAAAAATCAGATGACTCCAACCAATATAGCTGTGTGCCTGGCACCATCTTTATTCCACCTCAACACCTTGAGGAGAGATAGTTCTTCATCTTCCAGGTATTTTTTAAATTAAATTATAGTTAGCATCTATGCTTGTTCATTGCAGTTATTGTTTCCCCATCCAAAGAGGATGAATTTCAAAATGGCTCAGAAGCTGTTTTTTTTTTTAAAGTGTGCCTGGTAAGTTATTTGGCAATAACTTATTGTAACTGAATGATAATAAGGACTATCATTTGGGAACTGCAATGCATGGATGGTATGCTGGACAGCAAGGTACTGAACAAAAGTTTGCTCCTTGAGATCTTTTGAGAGTGAGTTTGTTCATTTAAGGAGAATAAATAAAGCCTGAATTAAAAAAAAAATCTATGAAAGAGTGACTGGATTGAAATTAAAGAGAAGAGCAAGAAAACTGGATTTTGGGATTGGATGACATCCGCCCCAAAAAGAACTGTTGCTGCATTGTTTGGGCATGGCGGAAGCAAGGACAGAAAGTCACAGAACAATATAATGAATGGTATTGATGTAAACTTGGATATTTTATTTTATTTCTTGCCTTTTGTTGACTACTTTTTACTCTTTTTTTCTTCATTTTACATAACTCTTTCCCCTGACAGATAACAGGATCACTGGTATATTTGTCTGTTCTATATGCAATTCTGATTATAATTACCCTTCCTGATCATAATATGTTGGATGGTAATGCAGTTTTTAATAAAATAAGCATAGAGAGTGCTAGAAAAGAAAATAAACCAACCACTTGATTCGTCCATGAGTATACCCATTGAGAATACTTCTAATTCTACATCATCCTGTCTAATGTTTAAATAACGTGCAAGGAACAAAGCTGGTTGATGGAAAGCTTGATTCTGTGGAAAATACCCTTTGAAACCATAGTTAAATGTTTTGCTAAACTGCTCTGTTTACATTTTGATAGGCTGGTTGTCTTTCTTGAAGATATTCCAGATTCTAAGTTTGTTTGAAGTTGAAGACAGTTTAGTTTGCCAATCTATAAGCTTGTGGTTTATGATGAGTATAGAGAGAAACTACACAAGATTATATAAACTGTCAGGCCATACAGACGAATAGGCAGACTTTAAGTGTGTGTAATTTTTTTGAGCTTCTTGCGTCATCAATCACTTTAGTGTGGCTTTCTCCCACACTGTTCTAATAACAGAAGAACATAAAAGTCCTCTGAGACTTAATTCTTTTGCCAATATTGCTCCACCTCCTGGAAGAGACATAATTAGGTTAGGAAATAGCCACAGAATTCAGTGTTCCCACAAGACCATTTGAAACCAGAGTAATATGGGAAGCAATCCCACCAATGCAATGAAAAAAAAATTAACCAATACAACTTTTCTTGAGAAACAGCAAGTGGCAAACTTTTAAAGCCCTTGAAATAAATAAAAATACAAGAGTACCGTAGTTATGGAGAAAGATATGTTTTGTAGCAAATATATCAGATTTCTCAAATATAGTACCCTCCAAATATTTGTAGACTTCACCTTTAGTCATCTGGGAATATGAATTTTAATCCAATATATCTGTAATATATCAAATAGAGGAAAATGTAATATAAAATGCATGATATGATAATTCACAAAATATGTTGGACATTTGAAAGCGTCTTAGTTTGCAGTTCCTAAGATTGATCAAAGTTAAGAGTTATTTTTGTTTTAGACATGGGGTGGGAAATCAGGGTAAATATATGTGTGTGCAGAATATATGTATAAATATACAGAGAATTAACAATCGCATGTACATGTGTTTAATATCTGTCCATCATTGTATGCTATAGTTAGCTGAATAGTCTTCAGCTTATAGGCTTTGAATGTCTGTTGTAGGTTAAAATCTGAGTACAAGTTTAACAGATTAACAGATAATCAGAGTTGGAAGGGACCAAGCAGGAGACCCTACACCATTTCTGACAAATGGCAGTCCAATCTCTTCTTGAAAGTCTCAAGTGATGGCGCTCCCACAACTTCCGAGGGCAAGCTGTTCCATTGGTTGATTGTTCTCACTTGTCAGAAAGTCCTTGTTTCCAGGTTAAATCTCTCCTTGTTCAGTTTCCATCCATTATTCCTTGTCTGGCCTACAGGTGCTTTAGAAAATAGCTTGACACCTTCCTTCCTGTGGCAGCCACTCAAATATTGGAAGAGTGCTATCATGTCTCCCTTGGTCCTTCTCTTTACTAGACTAGCCAAGCCCAGTTCCTGCAACGTTCGTTGTATGTTTTAGCCTCCAGTCCCCTTATCATCCTGGTTGCTCTTTTCTATACTTTTTCTAGAGTCTCAACATCTTTTTTATAATATGATGAACAAAACTGGATGCAGTACTCTAGGTGTGGTCTTACTAAGGCTTTATAGAGTGGTATTAGTACTTCCCTTGATCTTGATTGTATCCCTCTGTTAATACAATTTAGGATTGCATTAACTTTTTTGGCTCTGTTGCACACTGCTGGCTCATATTTAGCTGGTTGTCCACGAAGACTCCCAAGATCCCTCTCACAGTTACTGCTATTGAGCCTGGTTTCACCCAGTCTATATGTGTACTTTTGGTTTTTCTTGCCTAAGTGTAGGACTTTACTTTTCTCTACATTGAATTTCATTTTGTTAGATATGGCCCAGTGTTCGAGTCTGTCAGGATCCATCTGGATCTTGAGCCTATCTTCTTGGGTGTTAGCTATTCCTGCCAGCTTAGTATCATCTGCAAATTTGGTAAGTTCCCCTTCTATTCCCTCATCTAAGTCGTTAATGAAGATATTGAAGAGTTCCGGGGCTAAGACGGAACCTTGTGGCACCCCACTGCTTACTTCCCTCCATGTAGACTTAGACCCATTAAGGACTACTTGTTGAGTATGGTTTGCCAGCCAGTTGCGAATCCATCTAGTGGTGGTGCTATCTATTCCACTTTTTTCTAGCTTACTAAGAAGTAGGTTGTGGTCTACTTTGTCGAATGCCTTGCTGAAATCTAAATATATTATGTCCACAGTATTTTGCTGGTCTACTAATTTAGTCACTGTGTTGAAGAATGAAATAAGATTGGTTTGGCATGATCTGTTTTTAACAAACCCATGCTGACTGCTAGTTATCACTTTATTTGTTTCTAGATGTTGGCAGATCTGTTTTTTTTATTATCTTTTCCAGTATCTTCCCAGGTATTGATGTTAGACTGATTGGTCTATAGTTTTCTGGGTCTGTTTTTTTCCCCTTTTTTGAAGATGGGAACCATATCAGTTCTTTTCCAGTCCTCTGGTAGTTCCCTGGTGCTCCAGGATTTTTGAAAGATATGATGCAGCGGTTCTGAGATGACCTCTGCCAGCTCCTTTAAAACTCTGGGATGTAGTCCATCAGGCCCCGGTGATTTGTTTTCATCAAGATCAGACAGGTGTTCTCTTACTATTTTTTTGCTTATTTTAACTTTTATTTCTGGTCTGTCTTTTACAGTTATGTTTTTGGTGGATTGAGCTATAGTTTCTTTTTGCATGAAGACGGATGCAAAGAATGAGTTAAGCAGTTCTGCTTTCTCTTTGTTGCCTGTTACTTCCTTGCCATCTTCTCTCTTTAGTGGACCGTTTCCTTGATTTTTTTTCTTGTTATTTATATGTTGGAAGAAATGTTTTTTATTATCTTTGACTTTTGTTACAAGTCTTTGTTCGTTCTGAGCCTTTGCTATCCTGACTTTGTCTTTGCAGATTCTGGCTATCTGCTGATATTCTGCCTTAGTTGTATGTCCTTTTTTCCATTTTTTTTGTACTTGTCCTTTTTTTCTTTCAATTTGCCAGAGAGATCTTTGTGCAGCCATGCTGGTTTCTTCTTGGATTTCTTGTTTTTCTTTCTCAGTGGTATTGTGCTGGTCTGGGCTTCTATGATCATACTTTTTAGAGTTTCCCAAGATTCTTGAGTTGTTTTCTCCTTTAGGATTTTCATCCATGGAATCTTTCCCAAGTTCTTTCTGAGTTTATTGAAATCAGGTCTTTTAAAATCCAAGACTCTGGTGTCATTATGTTCTGTTGCTTGTGTTTGTGTTATATTGAATTCTAGTATGACATGGTCACTCTCACCCAAGGTTCCTGCAGTTTCAACTCCCTCTATCACTTCTTCTCTAATTGTAAGAATTAAGTTCAGTATGGCTGTCCCTCTAGTTTCACCCTCTACCTTTTGGACAACAAAGTTGTCAGCTAGGTTGGGTAGGAACTTATTTGATTTCTCACTTGGTGCAGAATTAGTTTTCCAATTGATATCAGGATAATTGAAATCTCCCATTACTATTGTTGTGTGTTTCCTGCATATGTTTGTTAGTTGGCTGGCAAAAAGGATATCTATATTTTCTGCTTGATTGGGTGGCCTATAATATACACCTGTGGCCATGTCATTCTTTTTTTCTTTTATATTGACCCATATGCATTCTAGGAGGTTTTCATCTTTGGTTTCATGCATTTCTGCAGCAATATAGTCGTCCTTTACATACAGTGCAACTCCACCTCCTCTTTTATGGGGCCTGGTTTTTTTAATAGATTGTAGCCAAGTAACTCAGTCCCTTTCTTTGATGGATGCAAATCATCTCTTTTGTACAGTTTTTCATTGGACCAGCTGCAGACATCATGACTAATAAAACCAAAGCCTTCCCTTTTACACCACTACTTTCGCCACACATTAAACTCTGCTACACGCTGCCCTTTCCCTTTTTGTTCCTTGTATATTGGTAGAACCTCTGAAAAGATAAGCCTACAGCCCATATTACTAAGTTCATACCCCGAGCTCTGGAAGTCTTTCTGAACAGAAAGTACATCCTTCTGGGATAGATCATTTGTACCAAGATGTATAACAGCGTCAACATCACAGTCCTTGCTGGCATTCTTGACTATTTTAAGAATACGCTTCTTGTCTCTGCTGGCAGTAGCACCTGGTAGACACCTGACCTCTTTCAAAACCTCAGTATCCTCTCCTAAATTTACATCCCTTACAGCTGAGTCCCCAACCAGAAGGCGGCTTCTCTTTTTGGAAGTCTTACTCTTCTTGTGTGACTGGTGCGTAATACCTGATTCACACTTTCTCCTTTCCAAAGTAAGTTCTCTTCTAGGACCATGATCCCCGGCTTACTTGAGTTATCATTATCACAACTACCTTGACCTGTCACTTTAGTGTCCCTATTAAGGTCAGCAAGGGCACTGTATCTGTTATGCTGGGACACAGCAAAAGCTTTGTGTTTATGGTCCACAGCTCTCACCCTGCCAGATCCCAATGTTGTCCATACTGCCCATTTCCTGTAGGATCTTTGTGGTAGTGGGGGCTGGTAGCACGGCAGCTTTATAGATGGCTGGCACCTAATTTCTGCTTGGAGAGCACAGATTAGAGATTCTAGATAGGTAATCTGTCCATGTAGACTGGTAATTTTTTTTACAAAGAGGACAGTATCCAAGTTTGAAAAGAGTACTGTGAAAGACAGCTGTAAAACAAGCATTACACTGAACTAAGCCGGTCATTTTGAAATAAAATAAAATCACAATCTCAAGCTCACTTACCCTAAATGTCTTATTGGTATTCTTGGTTTATAATTATATGATTTGCACACCATTAGGTGCGTGGGCCGCTATCTTTCTCCTTTCTACTCACCTTCTGCTTCCTTCACAAGCAGCCAGCTCTGGGAATTTGAAATGCAAGTTTTATTTCCGCAGGATGGGGATCTGGAAAAATAAGTAGTAGTTCAATTTCTGCCAGAGGTGAAGAGAGGTAAAGCATTTGAAGAATGCATTTTTAAGAGGCGTACACATCCCAGATGTGCATCAGGCAATAAAACAAGTCTTGTGATGTTCAGCATTCCCCAGGGAGAGAAAGAAAAATGAAGACAGCCTTGTCAGTCATAGAGAGTGAAAATGTGGTCAGGGCCAGGAATGTGTCAGAAAAATGGAGGGGAAATGTTGCATAGTATTTATTTCCAGGAGAAGAAATTAGTAGTTCCATGGAGATTTGCAAGTTTTAGATAGGTGGTGGAGGAGACCAATGCTTCCAGGTTTTTCTTCTATCTACAAATTATAGTAGGTTTTATCTTACTAGGTAAAGAAGCTGTTCTTTTAAAAATGGGAAATTTTCAGCATGAATATCTTGAAGTTTAAATAAAGTTGTAATGCAATGATTTGTATTATTTCATTAATGGTATCAGTGTGCGGATAACAAAAAGCCCTTATCTAACAGCTCTGGTTTCAGAATTTGAATAACAGTATCTGTCTGTCTATCATCCATCTGTCTATCATTGTCTGCCCGTCCATCCGTCCGTCCATCCATCCATCCATCCATATACCATATCTATCTATCTACTACTATCTAATCTTTAAATGTTAAAAAAAAATTCCAAGATAGAGCTTGTAAAGATGAATGCCAGGTTCTTCACAATCAAGGTTTTGGCTAGATGCCACAAGTAAGCTTTAAATATGAAAAATACTCTCTGGCAAAAAAATTGAGAACTCTTAAATAAGGATTGGCTTTTCCTCTGAATTTATGGCTCAGCTTTTAAAAAAATATTTTAAGGATACTAGACAAATCAATGAGTGCTTTGTGTGTTAAATGAAACAAGATTAGCTAACATTTGCTCTGTTTGGATAGAAGTCATTAAATGTTCCACAAAAGAAGTATTACATTAAAAGGCCACTATACTGGTTTAGCTTATTCTCATATGCAGTTTTTAAAGTGTTATTTGATGTAACTAGAAATGAAAATAAATGTGTGAAACAAGCCTGTATTTGTCACAGGAAATTATTTATATTGCATTCTTTACTGTTTTCAATGTCTCAGTGTTTTTCCCCCCTTTGCATTATACCACCCTAAGATTGGGTTCAATGCTCATCTGTATTGTAGACTCCTGCCAACTTATCTCTGCTCTCCCAGATGTTGGGACCAATCTTGCTCATCTCTTCACACCTCTCTCATCATAAGCTATGCTCAGTTGCTCCTGCTCCTGCCATCCAAGGAAACCAGCCAAGAGAACCACCCCTGCAAAATACAGACCCTCAATATCAGTTCAAAGATGGTGGAATTATATCTACTGCTTATAACTGCCCAATGTCTTGTTTTCTTATTTTTTCCACATACAACATACAACCACTTCCTTTTCCACTTAGTCCTTCTCTCCAAAGTAGCAAATGTATTTTTTAAACCAGAACTAGCGTCCAGTGATCAAAACAATGAAGTTGTTACATTTTCCTTTTCAAGATCTAGCCAAAGGAAGCTCAGTACTGGAAAACCTGATCAGAGGGATTTGAGTGAGAACTTGGCTGCAACGCATGGCCTGGCCCACATGATCATGCAGTGCCACAGACTATTTGGGGTAGGTGGTATTTTTTCAAGCATATTTTTTAAAAGTCTGCTCTAAAAATCTAGGAAGTAGAATCTGAGTATGTTGCTTTTTGGAAATGGGAAACAGATTATTTTTTAAATTATTTTTTCAAATTACTGGCAAGAGTGGTCTAATTCAAACTAAATAGCAAACCATTACTGTTTTAAGTTTTTCTTAGAAGTAGACCAATTTATGTGTCTCTTCATCACTATACTTGCTTGCATTCCCTGACACAGGTAGATCTCTACTTAAGGCCAGTGGCTTAATGACCATTTGAAATATAAGGAACCCAGAACAGTTAATGTGTGGCCTACAAACCACTTTTGGCCATCATAAAATATCAGCGATTGTATGTGAAATGTTTGGCAACTGGCTCATTTTATGACTGCATCCCTTGGTACATGTTTTGTGACATTTTTTGTTGGTTTCCAGCATTTTTGCAGATTTCTAGCAGAATGTATTCACATTTACAATCTTGGAATTCGTTTAGCAACCTCAGCGATTCGCTAAATGGCAGCCTCAAAAAATGTAGTAAAATCAGGTCTGATCATATGGATGCCATGGCTTACTATAACAAGTTATGAGCACAAATCTGGTCACAATTGTGGTCATAAGCTGAGGACTACAATTATCTTTAGGTCCACAGATGGAAAATAGTTTTTTTTTAAGAAAAAATATTTAGTGTATGTTAGTGAAATGGATATTATATCAGTTTTGAATTAGTTCAAAATGTAAAGCTTTGTTTTTAAATTAAAATATCTCATTGTCTTCATTTTGTTTTGCCCTGTATGAGTATTTTACTTGATTCCTTCTTGGTTTATTTTAAATATGGGCTCAGAAATAGTTTGAGGGAATGAGTCATCTATTCATTAGGAGCTAACAATCTCTAGTTGCTTATAACAGAAAAGCTGATCTTTCCCAAACTGATCAAAAACTTCCTTAATGATATGGGGAAAATGTGAGTTTTCCTGTTTCTGCTTAAGAACAGCATGGGCATAAATATTTAACCTCATTTTTACAGATTTGTGGCATCTCTTCTGCCCTATTTTCAATATCATTTTGCAACGAAAGCTTAATCATCTGATAGGAAGCCAACCTGGTCAAAACTACGTACTTTGCAAAATCACATTTCACAGCAACAGCTCAGCAGGATTACAAATAGTTCTAGTACATTTTGAAATCATCCTATCTAAAACTTTGGTTCATGTCTCTTTATTCAGGGGCCTTACTGAATCTGATAGATCAATAGCCTATATTTTTGTTTCCCACGGTAGTAAAGCATGTTTTTCATGGCAGCATTTTATTTATTTATTTGATTTGCCAATTGTTTACAAGATAATAAGTATAAGCGTATACATAGTTGTGAATACATGAAATGGGTACATATAAGAAAAATAAAAGAATAAGAGAAACAATAGGACAGGGACGGTAGGCACGTTGGTGCGCTTATGCACGCCCCCTACAGACCTCTTAGGAAGGGGGTGAGGTCAATAGTAGACAGTCTAAGGTTAAAGTTTTTGGGGTTTGGGGAAGAGACTACAGAGTCGGGTAGAGTATTCCAGACGTTGACCACTCTGTTGCTGAAGTCGTATTTCCTGCAATCAAGTTTGGTGCGGTTTACTTTGAGTTTGTATCTATTGTGTGCTCTTGTGTTGTTATGGTTGAAGCTGAAGTATTCATTGACAGGTAGGACATTGCAATGTATGATTTTATATACCATGCTTAAATCAGACCGAAGACGGCGTAATTCAAGGTTTTCTAGTTCTAGAATTTCAAGTCTGGTGGCATAAGGTATTCTACAACGAGTAGAAGAGTGGAGAACTCTCCTTGTGAAATATTTCTGGACTTTCTCAATTGTGCTAATATCAGATACGTAATGAGGGTTCCAGACTGATGAACTGTATTCGAGTATTGGTCTAGCAAATGTTTTGTATGCTGTGGTTAGTAGTGTGATATTACCAGAGAAAAAGCTACGTAGGATTAGGTTAACAACTCTTAATGCCTTTTTGGCTATGTAGTTGCAGTGGGCTCTAGCACTTAGATCATTAGAGGTGAGTATTCCAAGGTCCTTTACCGAGCTTGGGTCATCAACAAGTTCTTGACTATTCAGCTTGTATTTTATTTTCTGATTTTTTTTGCCAATATGTAAGACAGAGCATTTATTTGTTGAGATTTGAAGTTGCCATTTGTTTGACCATTCAGATACATAGTCAAGATCTTTTTGTAGGGTAGCAGTATTGTCTGTGGTATTGAACAGCTTTACATCATCAGCGAAAAGAACGCAATTGCTCTTAATATGATCACAGAGGTCATTTATGTAGAGTATGAAGAGAGTTGGTCCTAGAACACTGCCCTGGGGGACACCACTATTGACAGGTACTGGATTTGATAGGACGCTCCCGATTTTGACCATTTGTTGTCTGTTTGACAGGAATGCTTCTATCCAGTTATTCAGTTGTCCAGAGATACCATAGGATTTTATTTTTAGGAGTAGTTTGTCGTGTACCACTGAATCAAAGGCTTTACAGAAGTCTATGTAGATTGCGTCTATTGCTTTGCCCTGGTCGAGTTGTGTCGTCCATATGTTTTTGCAGTGTAAGAGTTGCAGATTACAGGATAGTTTTTTTCTGAAACCAAATTGTTTATTGGAGAGTAGGTTGTTTGTCTCTAAGTGGAGGATAATGGATTGGTTAATAATTGATTCCATGACTTTACAGGTGACGCAGCATAAGGAGATTGGCCTGTAATTTTCAACTAGGCTTGGGTCTCCTTTTTTGAAGATGGGGATGACTGTGGCTTGTGACCATAGGTTAGGCAAGGAGCTGTAGTCATATTGCCTGGTTCCAAAATGTTTCTTTATACAAATGTAAGAGTTGTTTTGATACAGGATGGGCAGGAAATAAAATTAAATAAATAAATAAATAAATAATAAACAAACAAACAAACAAATAAGCAATAGCCTGCTGTTGAAAAAACCCATTATCCATTTTAGGATTAGAAAAGTTAACTGAGAATGAGCTGGGCTTTCATAAGGAATCATTTAGACTCAGCTCAGTGTCTTCTATATTTGTAACTCATTTGGCTTCCTGCAGTTTATAAACTTTACTTATTCATAATATTTCTTCATATGATAGAAAACAAATCTGTGAGAGAAACGGGGTCTGGATAGGAAGTGTCAAAGAACAGAATGTGAGAGACTCACAGCCAATAATTTGTACAAAGTGCAGAACCAAAAGTGAACTTCAGAGTTGGGATATAATGCTTATTTAACATGATCGTTGTTCTCCTCTTCCCTTTGTATGGAAAACTGGCAATGAATTTAAGGGATAGGAACAAAAGTCCAAGGGTATGAAAGTTGCCTTTGTACCTTATTAAGCCCTAATTTGCACCTTATAATATACTTTTCTTCAGTTCTTTAAACCCTTGTCTCTAGAGCAGTATTTCTCAACCTTAGCAGTTTGAAGATATGTAGATTTCAACTGCCAGAATTTCCTAGCCAACTAGAGTGGCAAGCCATTCCTATATGAGCTGAATATATACATATTTCCTTTCTGATTTGGTGGTGTATTTTCTTCATGTACATAAGACTGTAATGTACTACCGTACTTATTGAAAGTAATGCTACTTTTTATTTCAGGCCAATGTAAATATGTGTGCTCTTTTTCAGGTACCCAACTATTGTTTTGATCAGGAGCATGAGAATGAACACAACCAAGCAGATTTAGATGAAGTAGCTCCACATCAAGCCACTTTAATAAAATATTCTAACATAGTGTCATCCCTGGAACACTTCATGCAGGACTTACTCAGAGAGGCCAAAGACAAATTCAAGAACTGGGTCACTTGCTCCATCTTAGAAGGAGTAGACTCCGCATCTAAGAAGGTAATTTAGCAATTATTGTATTAAGGCACTTTTAAAGCAGGGAATCCTCCTAAATTTAACAATAGCTTTTTAAAAAAACCAAATGCAGAAACATCACTTCTATAGAACTATAAAAATGAACAGAAATTGCACTGAACCAGCCTAAACCATCCTAAATCCCTATTGAAGTTTGAAAATGGCATTAGTACTGTTTCTTAGTGTCTCAACTCTGATATTCCTGCAACCATAATTTGAGTGAAAATACTGTTTTATATGTTTTAATCATTGTGCATTGTAAATGCCTAAAATGTCTCTTTACTGTTGCTTGGAATACATAATATAACATTTAATGATAAAAATGCCATTGGTCTATTCTTCAGTCTACAATCTTTTCTAAATCATTACCTGACATATTGTCTTATTACGTTTATTTTTAGTGAAGCACATAAGATTATCCTTGTTCTAAAAGAACATTGTTACAGGAGCGTCCCCAAATTGCTTTAGTTGTCTTTATATTGAGTCAATGATGCTCCTAATTTATTTAAGCATTGAAAGATAGAAGTCTGTCACATTGTTTCTTAATATATTGACTATATTCTCAGGTGGATGATAACTACCACATCTGTTTATGGAAAACCTCTGTTGAAATTGATGCTGTTCCTAAAGTTATTCTACACCGTATATTGATGGAACAACATCTGTGGGATCCAAATCTTCAACAAACAAACATCCTGGAGATTTTAGATGATGAAACAGATATTTATCAGTACACAACAGCAAATATGTCTCCACTTCCTTCAAGAGAATATGTGGTCCTAAGGTTAGAAACTATAATAAATTTCCATTTTTTTGACATCAGCTTTGTCGATCTGTTTTTTTTACACTATTATTTGTCATACATATTCTCAGGAAAAAAAATCCTAAAAGATTAAGTTCTAGGCTGCATAAACAGAGGGGTAGAATCAAGATCACATGAAGTATTAATACCATTTTATAATGCCTTGGTAAGGCCACACTTGGAATACTGCATCCAATTTTGGTTGCTACAATGTAAAAAAGATGTTGAGACTCTAGAAAGAGTGCAGAGAAGAGCAACAAAGATAATTAGGGGACTGGAGGCTAAACACATAAAGAACAATTGCTGGAATTGGGTAGGCCTAGTTTAATGAAAAGGACTAGGGGTGACATGATGGCAGTGTTCTGATACTGTATATCAGGGATTGCCACAAAGAAGAAGGAATCAAACTATTTTCCAAAGTGCCTGAGGGCAGGACAAGAAACAGTGGATGGAAACTAATCAAGGAGAGAAGCAACTTAGAACTAAGGAGAAATTTCCTGACAGATAGAACAATTAATCAGTAGAACTTGCCTCCAGAAGTTGTGAATGCTCCAATACTGGAAGTTTTTAAGAAGAGATTGGACTGGTTGTCTGAAATGGTATAGGGTTTCTTGCCTAAGCAGGTTGGACTAGAAGACCTCCAAGGTCCCTTCCAACCCATCCCACCCCATCTTTGAATCTTCCCATCCTACTGATTTAGGTATATTGATTAACAAAGCACAATTGGTTTGTTTGCATATTGCACTAAGGAAAAAACAATTACATGTGACAGGTGTAAAAAACCACAAGGGAATTAAATTTCCAACTTGTAGTGTACTTATTTTTGCTACAAATTAAAAGAGTGTACAGTAAGTTTTGTAAATGACAAATTATTAAAATATTGATTACACATAGAAAAGCATTTAAAATTGATAATTTGCAACTATGGTTATGATATCAACTGATCAACAGAAATCTGTGATGGTATGGGAAGACAGAATTGACAGATGATTGCATGTATTCTAAACTTTGTCAAGTGGAAAACTTTTAAGAGTGTGTTATCCTGTACATGTTCTGCAAGTCCTTTGGCAAACAAATTGTTCTACCCATCAGGTAATCATTGTTTTTCTATATGGAGCAGAATTATTGAGCGCTCATCTCAAAATCTCAATATTTCAAATGAAAATAATATAATCTCAATAGATTGTCTGATTCATCTGATATATTGCAAGATTTGACAGTTTAGTGAGATCTTAGATATTATTTAAAAGTTTAAGTTAAAAAGTTTAAATTTGCAATCCTGTGGGTGCTATGTTGCCAAATCCTGCATTTCTGCTGTTTATAGAAGTTGCAATCTGGATTGGATTTTGCCTATATTTGACACTATTTCACAGACACAGCATATATGTATTGGGAAATATAATTGTTTATTATAAGTAGTTAGAAAGTTGATATAAATGAAGTGACATAAAAGTGTTCTTTGTGTAGCTAATATGAGTTTAATTTCCTAAATATAATGGGAAATCATAATCTGAAATGTTGGGGTTTTTTTTACTTTGTTATTTCTAGGACTTGGCGGACTGATCCTCAAAGTGGCACATGTATTCTAGCAGCTACCTCAACAGATAACAAAGGTGCTACTGTGAATGGGATTTTGGTTCAAGTCATACTTTACCAATACCTTATAGAAGTTGTTGCTGGTTCCCAGAAATCCAAAGTAACATATGTTTGTCAAATAGATACCAGGTATTTCTTCTATTCCTTTCCTTGAAACTAAAATTTTACCTACCTTGATGCTCTGAGCTTAGTTGTTTGTCTGAGGGTATTTCATTACCCACTTTCATAACATCATCAGTGTGAGAGTGAGATACACTCCCCACTTATATACCGTAGCCTGCAAGTATCATGGTGGCGGTATGATTTTCTTCATAGTTCATTATTTATTATATAGTCTGTCTATTTTTGTTACAGAAATATGAATTAAGGTGATTTTTTTTTAAAAAGAAAAATAATTAATGATTTTATACCAATAGATGTGAAATGACACCCCACTCCCCCAAAAAGAAGTCAGAAAGAAACAATGCTAGTTCCTAATATTGCTTTTTTTTTTTTTTTTGTCAGGGGGCGGACCACAGAATGGTATAAGAGGGCTTTTGGTCATATCTGTGCTGCAGACATGATAAGGATTAAAGATTCTTTCAAAGGATCCCCTTACCGAAATTAAACCAAAGACAACCATTTGATGCTTCTGGAGACGAAGATAGTGCAAGATGGCTTCAGTTACCATTTTCAAATTTGATTAACTGAGAAAGCTGTATATAAAGCTATCGAAGAAGAATTTTAGAAATGAAATTTCAGTATAAACGTACCTTTCAACTGAATAATTTACACATTATTTTAGTGTTTTGCCAAGAAAATGAAATTATTTTGATTATTTCTTAATTTATTTATAAGGAACATCTTTTAATAGTCTATTTTAACTGTGTAAATGAGATATATTTTTAGATGTTTTATTGATTGAAAATGTGAAAGCAATAGTAAAATTATATCAGCAGCTTACAGCCTGACCAGCTTTTATGCTGATTTTATTTTTATTATTGTAACATATTAGGAAACAGTGATGCTTGTATAAGAAGCTAAGCTAAGCTAATTACATTATATTTATGTTGGTCAAAGATTTTTGTATCTTGAGTAGCCACAATAATCTACTTGAGAATTTATACATCCATTTTTAATGCAGGAATTTTTCAATTTGCTTTATAAGACACGCTCAAGGCAATGTTCAAAGCAGAATAGGCACTTTAAATGGAAAATGTTTACTTTTGGGAAATAATCGAGGACTAACTACATAGTGATACATGGAGCTGAAAACACTAGATTCAAATTCTGTATTTACTTAGTATGCCCAGTTTTCATTTATTTGTTTTTTTTTATATTGAAAAATGCAGTTAGACTGACTTGAAGATAATCTCAATTTTTTTTAAAAAAAGTCCATGAGTAGCTTTCATTTACCATACTGGATGAAAAAATTTTTGAATGAGAAATTGAATCAGACAACCACTAGCTTTACATACATGCTAAACCAGTTTGTATCTGCTATGCAAAACATAGCAAATTATATTGTGGCATTGTGCCGAATCATTGGCATAATCTTACTCCTCTACAATGATTTTTTTTTACCACTCCACTTCTGTCTAATTGTCTTTTCTCACTCGTTCCAGTACAATGGAACTTTGATCTTGGACATTTTGTGTAGCTCTTTAAAGATTTTTTTCTTCATTTATGAAATAAGTTACCCCAAGTTTGCCAGTAACTTTTGGCATGCAGATTGAATTTTTTACCTCTAGCTCCACAAGCTTAAAAATATTTCTCAAGGTACTGTAGAATTAGTATTTTTATTACTTGCTATAAAATATACTGTTTTTCCAGTTGCATAAGCCTGTAATCCACAATTCCTAATTAATGGATGGTTTCTAACAAACAAGTCCTAACATTACAGTTAGCTTGATAGAATCAAGGTAATCAATCACATTAAGATACATGACTGCCCTGTGTGTGTATACAGTAACAAGGGATTTTTAAAAAAATCCCTGCTAATTCAAGTAAATATCTGCCCTATTTTTGGTGACACCTCACACCTGTGTCACAGCCTATCCTATTTAGGATGTTCAACGTTCATTTTTACAGTGGCGTTTTGTGCAGCTGCTTGCAGGAAATGCCAATACCAAGCTCATCTTGATTGATCTTAAAAATATAGTTAATATATGGATGGAGGGTGGTCACACTGAGAAACTGAAAAATATATAAACAAACAAATAAATCTGGAGAAGGCAGGGGAGAACTACTACTCTATTTTGTGTGTTTTCATGCAGTTAGTAATGATTTTAAATTCGGTATTTTCCTCAGTCTGCCAAGCCATCTGATTTAAGTGTTATAGCACAAAATGATTTTTTTTAAACATAAAAGCTGGTTGCAGCATTCCACTTGGGTACTCTACTTTGTGCTATATTTTATACATACTGCCATCCGTGCTATTTTGTTAGGGTGTTGTAAATATTTAGCTAATCCTTAATTGTATACTTGATGTAGATATTTATATACTATTATAATAACACATACATTTCATATTAATATGACATTTTACAAGCCCCTCAGTGAACGAAATGTGTTTATTACAACTATTTTTATTAGGCATTTCATTATTGCTTTCATTAGGAATAACTAAGTGGCCAAATTGATTTATTTGTGCTGATAAAATGTACCTTTTTTGAAAAGACATTCTGTGTAATAATGCTAGCCATTGTAAAAGAAGTCTTCTGTATTTCTACTATGTTTATATATTTCCAACAACAAAAAAACCTCTTGCCAGATGGTATCAATTTACAAATCTTTAGACATGGAGAGCTGGTGAATGCTAATATTTAGCAGCTAAGTAGCAATTTTAGTTATAGAAAAGGGGGAGGGGAGAGGAGGAAGAAAATAATATATTTAATATTATTGGTACTTTAAGTTTAACATGTTGAACATGCTGCAGTATTTTACTTTTCATCCACTTGTATTGTCAAAATAACTGGTAAAAATTGTTCACATGCTTGATTTATTGACAATGCACCTTTAATAAAAAGGTGAAGCGCTTCGTCACTTCAGTATTGATATGTGTAGCACAGGTAACTTTGTTCGTATTTTATAACACTGTATGTTTTCAATTCCTGCAACATATGACTTGGTAAACTATCAGAAAGAGCTAGATGATCCCTTTTTCATTTAGAATCGCACAAGCCTGACGTAAATATTCCATTTTACTGAGCTCAAACATGACAAATTTATGCAAATTTTAAAATGCATACAGATTGTCTCTGCATATAACTTTTGTGGCTGAAAAGACATCTAACTTGGTGAAACACAATTGCAAGCACTTCTGGCCCGATAAAAAAAAAGAGAAAATCCAATCTGAGTATCTGTTATTTTTATTAAGTTCTAATCCTGGCAAGGAAAAAAGAAACTGTTTATCCTTTGCTTCTAACAGTTTTTAAAAGTCATTTTAATTACATTTTTTGGACAGGCTTGATTCCCAAGATAGCAAAACCTTTGGCCATCACAGCAGCTGTTGCTTCACACAGGAGCATTCGCCACATGTTCACATTCACTATTTCACCTAGATACAAAACAGACACAGCACAAAAATAAATATTAGATGCAGCCCTTTCAGAAATACATATTTTGCCTTTTTTACAGATTCAATAACACAACATTATGCAGGCAGTTATAATCAGTTCCTGTTAATTTATCACATATTTAAGAACAGTCTACAGGTAGTTCCTGCCTTACAACCATTCATTTAGTGACCATTCAAAGTTATAACAGCACAGAAAAAAGTGACTTATGACCGGTGCAGCAGCCCCATGGTCATGTGATCGAAATTCAGGTGCTTGGCAACTGACTCATATTTATGACTGTTGCAGTGTCCCGAGGTCATATGATTTCCTCTTGCAACCTTCTGACAAGCTAAGTTGATGAGCAAGCCAGAATCACTTAACAACCTCATTACTAACTTAAAAACTGCAGTGATTCTCTTCACTGTGGCAAGAAAAGGTAATAAAAAAGGGCAAAACTCTCTTAACTATTTCATTTAGCAATAGAAATAGTTGGTTGGGCTCAATTGTGTTCGTAAGTCGAGAACTATCTGCAGTACTCTACTTTTGTGATGATTCTGTTCAAATTTTTGTATCCATAAGAGATCCAATGCAGCTATAATTTAAATTCAGTCTATCCAACCATGTATTTATTTTGCAATCATGGCAGGGTTTTTAATCATGGCAGGGTTTTTTCAAAGGATTTATAATTTTATTTGTGGTATTAATAAATACCTTTCTAAAATAGAAAATTGAAAACATATTTAGCACAAAAAGTCTCATAGGTTTTTTTCAGTATGAGGTTCCATCCAACATGGTTTGAAAGGAAAGATTTTCACAAATCTTTGTATTTATTGAGTTGTCAAACTTGGGGCGCAGTGGCGGTATTCTACCGGTTCAGCCTGGTTCTGCCGAGCCAGTAGCGGCGGATGAGCAACAGAGACTGAACCGGTTCTCTCCACCGCTCTGCTATTGGGCCCACCCAACCGCTTGGGCTCCCATATCCTCTGCTTTTGAAGCGCAGCTGCTTTGTGCGGCAGATCAGAGTGCCGTGTGACAGCTGGTGAAGCTACTGGGAGAGTGCAGGCTTGCAGGAGGTTGAGTTGGAATGCCTCTGTGCCTGCACAAACTCCTCTGCATCTGCGCCAAGTGCACGTTTGGCACCCGCGTGGACACAAAGTGTGCGCACATGCACAAAGCGTGCCCACCAAGCCACATCCAGCGAACCTGTGGTAAAACTTTTTGAATCCCATCACTGTTGGGCTGTCACACAATTGTCCCACTTTACTTTCAAAATACTAAGGTGTAACTCACCAGTTTGTCTATCCTTTTCCACACAATAACAGTTATCATAGAATTCAGTAAATGTGGTGGCTAGCTCATAGAGGTAGTCGCAGAGTGTGTGCAGTAAAAGGTCATCTAAGCACTTTTGGATGATTTCAGGAAACCTCAAAATGCATTTGCCTAGTTTCCATTCTTTTTCATGATCCAGTATTATCTCTGTTGTTCCAGCTGCCTTTTGTAGTTTATCCTCACTGATATTAGCCACTCTTGCTATAGATCTGTCACAGAAATAAACCTTAGATTAGATGCCAAGGGATCAAGCCTTCTTTCTCTAGAAAAACATCTTTATTTGCAGTCCCCAAAAAGATTGTGTGACGCAAGAACAAAGACATAACAAAATTACTGACTTATCCCAAAAGGATGGCTAGCTATTATGCATCGTTTTGACAATATTGTTAAATACTGCTTCTTAAAATATAGAATTGCGTCTTGAAAGGTGCACTTTGAAAATGCTGTAAGTCCCGTAGCAGAAAGGATGCCAGAAATTGGGGATGGAGTGAAAATAAGGATCACCCCAAGAATCCCAAATAACCACAAGCGAAGTAAGTCCAATACTTCGAGAGATGTTGACCCATAGTCTGTTGATCCTGTTGCCTTAGCTCCAACCAGGTGCTGACCTTAGTTGAGAATATTGCTATGCATTGGCCAATAAATCAATTTAACTTTCACAAGTTGAACTGATGTTTCATATCTGACAAGTCCTGAGTTAATGTAAACCCTGTATAAGCTACACCAGCCACTTTAGGCATCAATTGCTCTATAAAAATAATGGAGCAAGGTATCAAACAACCACATGTGAATCATCTTGAGTTCTTATGCAAGATCTCATGAATACACATTAAAAATTCCTTAAAATAAGCCACACATCTTCCTTAGCCTGTGCCAAGTGAGCAGGAAAAGGCGTATTTGATTGAAGGAGGTCCCAGCAGGTTCAATACATGCCTCAGCAGCCCTTTTCTACTGAACCCCAATTGCAGAACCATAATAGGTTTTTGTGCTCCAAACACTACGCATGCCATGCAAGTATGTCCAAGATTACCATATCAAATTACTAAATCTTACCCTTAAAGCAAAATATATTGCTGAGTGGGCTGTATGTTGCTTTTCATGTTTAAAGTTTAAAGTTAAATGTTTATTTTTTTCCGGCTTCCTTGGGCAATAAAATAATTAGTGATGTATGTCCATAGCTATAGATTGTGAAAGCAAGACTGTTAAACATACTGACAGTTAAATTCCATTTTTATAGTTAACAAATTAGCTAGTTTAGCACATATCAGCATAGCCTCAGTGTTCTAAAAATGACTATTAGGTAAAGTTTTTTTTTAAAAGTAGAGCAAGGCATTAATTGTCCCATATTATATATTATCATACATGATAACTTGAAACATAAAAGCATAATATATCTACCTGATTCGAGTGAAGGCATAAAGTAAATAAGCAGCAGTATTTCCTTTATCATCAAGCATCTTATCAAAAGAGAAAATATAATCATTTATTCTGTGATGAGACAGATCTGCATATTTAATGCAACCAAAGGCAACTGAGATCTGGGCTGCCTTTAATTCTTCAGCTGTAAGAACCTGTTAAGACAAAGAAACCATTTTTTTCAAACAAATGAATGAGTTTATTTAATCACCATCAATGACCAGCAAGATAAAGACACAAAGGATGAACAAATACACGAAAAGCAGTATATCAGTCATATACAACTATAAAGGTTTGAAAAGATTAGATAAATCATATCACTTTCAAAAACAGTCAAGTAGCATCAAATGACACCTTATAAACGAACAAACATATCATTTCCAGCTACTATTTGGAGGTAGTTGCTGGAAGATTGCATTCTCAAAGTTTTCAACACACAGTTTAGCTCAACTCTACAAGTGGCTTTAAAAAATTTCCTAAAACAATTGAATGATGTTGGCATAAGCTCTATTTATATATGCAAAAAACTTGAGGTCACCAATGAAAGTTAAATTACCATTCTACTTGGGTAAGGTACAAAAGCATTTCTTAGCAGTGAACCACCACCCCCAATCAATATAAAAGTGGTCCTATCCTATCCTTCATTCTATGGTGTTCTGCCATCTGCTGAAAAGCCAAGATAATACAACAGTATACAGACCAGAGCAAAAATTAATCTCTGAATGTATGAATTCCCAGAGAATATCTTGGTAGATCTTGTCTCTATTCCCTACCCATTTAAACATCAATGATAGCTTTAAGCATTATGAAACAGTACCCAAGATGGAACATCTTAGTACAATGTTCATTGTTAACAAAAAAAATACAATTAGCAAAACAAAATTCCAGTAAATTTAAACAAAATAAAATACAAAGTGCAGGGCATGCTGCATAAAGGCAAAATTACTATGTTGGATTCAAGAAAAAAAAAGCAATCCATTACCTTATCTCTTTCTTTTTCCTTCAGTTTATCCATTGCTCTCTTCAGTCCCTCTTCAAGAAGATCAATCAGTCGTACTGTATCCCCACAACGTGTTTTGAACTTTTTTCTTATAGAAAGGATGAAAATTATTACTTTCCTGAAATGGTATCTCATTTAAATAAATTATATTCCAAATGTAGCTTAGCTTTAACAGCATGAAGGTGACATCCCAAACAGACAACTCTTTGTATCCATGGTGACAGGTATTATATTAAAAAATGAATGGATTTTAAAGAATCTAAATTTTAATTTCAGTGTAAATACCCAGACTCAAACTAAGAGGATTAATTAAAGCTGAATTTTAGTTTGAACATGGGAATATTATAATTAATTTTGGGAAGGAGCACTTTTTTCAATTAATGTCACAAGTTGTCTTAATGAGGTATGCTAGGAATCAAACTCTCCCTGCACTCCTAAATAGATAAGCCTAATTGATATGATGATGATGATTAGCATTAGTATTCTATTTTAGATGTAATAAAATGTCTTTTTTCCAGCAACTGGTTTAGCTGTTTCAAGCATGGTTTGGTAGTTTTCCAGAAGTTAGCAACAGCAATAAGATGAGCACTTATATGCAGCTACATAGTGCTTTACAGCACTCACTGAGAGATTTGCAAATGTCAGCAAATTGCCCCCAACAATCTGGGTCCTCATTATACCGACCTCGGAAGGATGGAAGGCTGAGTCAACCTTGAGCTGGTCAGGATCGAACTCCTGCATTCCAATACTGCATTCTAATGACTGTGCCACAATGGCTCCAAGTTAATCGTGTGAAAGAAATTACTGATGCTTCAGACAAAACAAGCTTGTTTTAGGCCAGGATCAGTATGGTCTAGAGAAATGGAATCTTCAGAAGTGTTCCATTCATCCTCTGGACCACACTGATCCTGATCCAAAACCTTCTGGTGTTCCATTCCTCAAACAGTAGGTTTCATTGATTCTAGTGTAATAAAATTAAATTTAGTTAATTACTGTAGTTAGTCCTCATATAATTTAAAGTGTAAATTTTAAGCCACCACACACGGTCCAAAAATCTCAAAGTAAGATGGGCAGCAAATAAATTTAACAAATAAATAAATAAATTTTAAAAACGTGACTGAAATTTAAAAATAATAATTTAATAGCAAAAAGATTTTGGGCTTCATGTGGCTCTGCATGTCTCAGATGGTGAATCCCTAATTTATGGGCATGATCTAAAATAGAACAATAAAAGAAAGAAGTGACAAGAGTTAGTAATAAAAATCTGGATGGAGAAAAGAGGAAGTTTTTTTCCAAATTAAAAAAAAATATTGCTTCCTGAGTATTACTTAACCTGTTACTTTAGTTAACGAAGGTTTGATTAATCATGCTCATAAAATTGTGTAGATGGATGAAGAAGACTCTTATTTCCAACAGACAAGATAATTACAATATGCAGATCAAAAAAGAGATGTCTACACAGCTATTCTTAATAGCTTATATATACAGTAAATTCAATTATAGCTCAAAGTAAAGCTGCAGAATGTACAACCAAACATCATTCTAATCATCCTGCAAGAATAATATGCTTTAAAAAATCAAGGCAAAATACATGTCACAATTGAATTGATGATAGAACTATTCAGAATTTTTTTTTAAAAAAAAAGTCAAAATGGGTATTACAAAAAAAAAATCAAAGGAAAGTCTTATACAGAGTCAGACTATTCATCCATCTAGATTCTAGATTGATACTGGCCTCATTTCAGGCAGTAGCTCAGAAAAAGGAGCAGCTTCAAAAGCATCCAATTAAAAAAACTGAATATTTGATATAAACAGTTTATTTCCTTAAAACTGCCTGAATATTGCATGGTTCAAATCAATAGGTTTTTTTTCTCTATTAATCTTCCTAAATAAGGATATCAATTCCTCCAGTGAGATTAATAGAATCTAGCTTAAGGCATACTGAAGAAGAGTTGAGTAGTTAAAGCAATAGGCTAGAAACAATTAAATTCTGAGTTCTAATCCTGCTTAGATGTGACGTTAGCTGGGTGATCTCAGTTATTCTATATCAGACAGAAGAAACTAATGGTAAAGCACTTCTGAAATTGCTGGCAAGAAAATTGTAAGGATTTGTCCAGATAGTCACTAAGAGTCAAGACAGACTCAAGGGACATACACATTCCCATACACTTCCCACCTCTCCAACAAAAATAGAAAATACTTTGTACACTTACTTGTCTTCTCCCAATACCACTCCAAAAGGAGCATGAATTACTTTGGTCACTTTGGGGTCATACCAGCCAATCATCTGAGCTGCTGCAAATATTGTTTGTAAGTGAACAGACTGCAAAACAAAACAGGATTAAAGTATCAATTGTTAATTATGATGTCTAAAAATGTTTCTAATAAAATGTGCCTTGTTTCAGAGAAGGCAATGGGAGCAACTGTCCTGAGAACCAAGGAAGGAACCGGCCTCCCAGTAGGATTCAATACTCAAAATGATTAGATTCTTTTTGTTCAGGATATTAAAAATATATTAGAATATTAATTAGTTAAGCATAAATAACTGATTGTATTTTGTGTTTCTTCATACATTTATGTTTAATGGGCTGTCAATGGGTAAAAATAACAGACAAAAAAGTTACAGGAACTAATGAAATGGGAGGGAGAATTAAATGAACAGTATATCTAGATCTGCTTTGGATCACATCAATGTCTACAAGCAAAACATTTTACAAAACAGAAAAAACACAGGTTAGAGAAGCTCACCTGCCCACTATCTATCACATAAATTATATAATCAGCTTTTTCTTCGAAAATCCTCTGTTTTATTGCTGCCAAGTCTGATGTATCATATGTGAAACCCCCATCAGATTTCACAACTGTCAAAGGAACAGAACATCCTGGAATAAATACAACCTTCCGGCCATCATCCATTTGTAGAAACCCTAAAGATAAAAAATTCATTACTGGTAACCATGCAAAAACAGATGGAAAATTATATTAAAGTCTGGGAAGCAAATCTACTTTTTTTATATATACAAAAAATGGATAAATAAAAACCAGTTCAATGAAGATTTACAACAAAACTTGTCATAAAGCCATACATACTCCAAGCCAAGCAAACAGGCATAGATAATGGAGTCAAATGTTTAAAATTTCTACATCTGCCAATTCTAATGCAACTATGGTAATTATCTCTTGAGATGGGCTTAACTTCTGATTTTAGAGTTTGATTAAAGGAAGAAAAACAAAACATCCAGTTGCCTGAAATTTTTAAAAAGAATCAGTGGACAATGTAGCAAATGGTTTTGGACTCAATTTAACTCTCATTCTGTTCTCACATAAGGCTTTGTTCCAGATGTAATCAAGAACTATTTATCTGATTATATTCCCAAATGTAACATCTATTACTTTCTATCTTGAGTAGATTGATTTAATTCCTATGTTCCAGCAATCAGAAACCTATAGATATTATTAATCATTCACAAAAGAATCACCCAGTATTAAATACTTCCAGATTATAAATTTAGCTTCCTAATACAACAAATGCTGTTAGTTGAAGTCATATATCTAAAACATAGGAAGCAATGATATTGTTAGTTATTGGACTCAGAGTTAAATGTAAAAAGAAGCAAAAAAAATCCAACTTGTTTGGTTTAGAAAGAGATGAAACACAATGAAAGAATTATGGAGAACTACTACTGGTCTTCAGTATTTTACAGTGTGTAATTCAAAGGTAACTTTCTCACTGTATGTTGAATTTAGGTGGCCTAGATTAAAATATCGGGTTAATTATGCCATAGAGCTATAGATGGCCATCTTAATGGCTAAATGAAGGATTTAATTTTTAGCTAGTGAATACTTTTAAGAGATGGAATGGCAACAATTGGAAATTGTTAGAAACTAGCAACACTTCAAATAGATAAGGACATATTGTACATAGAAGATTCTCATATCAACATTGTGTCTCAAACAACATTGGCTTATCATGCATGGGAGATATTTACATCTAATATGGACATTTATTAACAACCAGGATAACAAAAAGAACCAATCAGAAGTCAAAGATCCTGCCCAATTTTACTGTCAGCAAGCTGCAATGTAATGCTTTCTTTCCAGACCAGAGGATACAAAACAGTAATCTCTGTATTTGAAAGCTGCCCAACCAAGCAGTAAACTGGGAATAACATAAAATAGAAAAAACATCTTATCAAAGAATAGCTATCTCAGAAATTGACCAATCAAGAAAGAGTCTCTATATGATCACTCATGCATTAACCCATTTTTTTACTTGTCTGAACTTCTCTTTATACTAGCTATCCAAAACATGCATGTACAAACATTTTCTTTTGCTTTTTGTATCATTGAAATTACATAAGGCTATAAAAATATTGCAAACAATATTGCATGGTATTTGGTGTCATCCTGATATTTGGCTTGTCACAATTTCTCTCTGAAAAGACGCTACAAAGCAAATTTGATAATCTTATCCTGTGTCAGGTAAAAATCAGTGAAATAAAGTTGTATATTACTTCTCTAAATTCATGACAAATGAAAGAAAAATAAAGTAATTTTGAATTTCAGGCTAATGGTACCTAGTTAGGTTTACTGATTAGGTATAATAAAACATTTTAATAAAAGCAAACTTTCCTGAAGGTCTGAAACATACATTAAATGGATTATCATTTTAAACATATGTCAGCTATTTAACTTCCAATACAGATGTGTTACCTCGTTCTTCAAGCTCCTTTACAATTTCATGCATCCTATCTTGATAGTATGATTCTCCTCTGTCTATGATGGAAACATCCAAGCAGTCATAGATCTTTTGGAATTCTGATCAAGAGGAGGAAAAAAAATCTAAGCACACGGAAGTGAAGAATTTGAAATACTTAAGTTGAAAATCTAGTGATTAGAATAGTACAACAGCAAATTATATGGAAAAGAAGCAATGTTAAAAAGTTGGGTTCATCTTGAAATTCACTAAGGCCTTTGTCATCAGTTTAAAACACAGTAATAATTAAAGTGGTATCCTCTCCTCTCATAGGTAATGCTAACTCTACCTGGATAGCTGAGAATCTTCATCGACATATAGAATAATATTAAGCACTCAGAAAAGGTAAGCAAGAGAAAAACTGAAAATTTCACACACTTGATTGAGAGCTTCCTACAAATAAAATTGTATAATAAAAAAAGAAACTAGGCCTTAAAATCAACTATAATCTTCCCTATGCAAACCGTTGTTGAAAAACAGTGGACAGAAATCTGTTTCAGGACATTCTTTATTGAGGTGACTCCCTCCCTTTTTTCTTTCATGCTGTCATATGTTAGTAGTTAGAAGACCCAAAACACTGGAAAGTTTCGTATTATAGACTGGATCTTGGCCTCATAGAAGAGCAACTTTATATCCACCTCTCAAAAATTTCCACCATAAATGGTACATTCAAAATTCTTTTGCTTCAGCAATGCTCTACAAAAATAATTTCAAGTCACAACTGTTTAAGAAAAGTTTTTTTCTAAGAAAATGCTCAAAAGGAGTCAAGATAAACCCGTCAAAATTTCAAAAATCACCTTTTCGGGATACATCACAAATGAGGTTCCAAGCTTTAATGATGTCTGGACTTTTGCTCTGCAGTAGGACCACACAGTGGTATGCACGCTTCTTAAACTCTTCCTCAGTGTCAAACCTTCTTTTTGATTCCTTGGTTAAGAATATAAAGATGCTGTGATGTGCATTAAATGGAATCCAATCAAAGTATTCATAGCAGCATTAATGTTTAGAGTAGATAAAAAGAGCAACATTAATTAAATTTCAAATTAATAAACATAACTATCTCAATTGCAATTTCAGCTATTTTAACTGTTTGATCTTTTCATCATGTTTTAACAAATGCAGAAATTAAGCACACTATAAGTTACAGCTCTAATACTGAAGAGAAATTGGGAATCCTCACTCACATATGAGTTTACTGTATGTGAATTTGAGTATTCATGGGAAATTTTCTGTGCTATTAATCTGCATAATCTTCAATTGCTGACATGATAGTTCTTCTATAAAGAAGTGGAGAATAAAAATCTGCTCTCATTGGAATTAAATTCACACACCCCATGCTTAGAAATGGAGAAGTGCCGATTTTTAAGCAATCTAAATGCATCTAATTTTAAAAAGAGTTGAGTGACTCTCTGAAAATATCTGCAGCTATAGAGACATTGTCTTCTTAAACTCCTTGCCCAATCATTACTTTTGTTTGGGTAATGTGTAGCAAAATCCTGTATGTTCAGGGACAGTTCCTCCAGAAGTGGAAAGAACACACTCGCTTTTAACCCTGGTAGTAACGCCATCATGCAAGGATACAATCATATGTCTCTGGATTCATTCCATCAATACCTCGACAGAAAAATGTTTATGTAGTCTGGATGGTCATAAACATATATCCTATTGATCTAAGGAGATTTTAGTCTAGTATCCCATCCTGCTGCCTCCTGTAATCCCCAGAAATAGGCTGTCAATGGCATTAACTGTTATTTGACTGATTTCCCCCCCCCCATTCTTTAATATTACATATGCAGATGATGACTGTATCTGCAGTTTCTCCTATTGGATTGAACTAACTGATTCAACTATTTTCCCTCTAATTAAGAATAGCAGTTAGTAAAAGCTCTGAATAAATGTTTGAAATATTACTTGCTGCAATATTGATTCTTTCTCATGTAATGATCTGTACTGACCCCTTTCAATTTAAGAAGATTCTAACAAAAAAACTATATTAAGAAATAATGAAAATGAAAAACAAACATACTGTTTCAATACTGTGCAAAACATTAAGCATTTTCTAAGCAATTATAATAACAGGAACAAATATTGTGGATACAATACCTTATAAAAAGCTTGGAGATCTCCTATGGGTGGAGAAACAGTGAGGTAATCTGGAAATTTATCTTGCAGATGAGCAATAAGCATCCCAAACTGGGTGCCCCAATCTCCTAAATGATTCAATCTGGATAACAAGAAAAATAAACCAAGTGTAACGTACAGGTAATCTTTACATTGGAAAACACTATTTCAGTTAATCTAACTGAAATGGTTCATCTAGAGTTCTGTGGTGTTTTGGGCTAAAAATACTGTGCCAGATAAGTAACTACAATAGTATTTCCAGTGGGCTTATTCCTTAATTAACATAGTTGACTACAAGTCAGAGGAGTTCTTACATTTCTTTGATACATTTGTGTCATACAAATTATTGAAAATAAAGTGTGGCTACTTCACAGAAAGAGAAGCACTATATCTCTAAATACGTTATGAGCATGCCCATAAATAAACTACATGACGTACCTTAGAACATCATGCCCCATGAATTCAAAAAGACGGCATATGCTGTCCCCAATTATAGTTGACCTCAGATGTCCAACATGCATCTCTTTTGCAATATTTGGGGAAGAGAAATCAATCACCACCTTTTCATATGGAATGAAAAATGAAAAAAAGTCCAAAAATTTAGAATACAATTGGTGTAAAAAATATAATTCCATTATATACCGTGTTTCTCACATAATAAGGCCGGGCCTTATTTTTTTTTGAGCCCCGAAAAAACGGCTAGGCCATCTTTTCGGGGGGTGATTTAATTCCCCCCCCTTGCATCCTCGCCATCAGCCGCTCCTAACGGGCGATCATGGCCAAGCACAGAGAGCTCCCTACTCTCACCTTTGCTGCAGACACCTTTGGCACCCGCCGCTGTTGCTTTCCCT